ACAGGGTAAAAAAGTGTCCTTTTTACCTATTTATTTTCAATTTTTTTATTTCCTCTCTTTTGTTTTAAAAAAGTGTCTTTTAAAATGTCTTCCGTATGTCCCTCATAGAGTCCCTCCCCCATCCCTCCATAACACGCTGCTTTCTTTTAAACCCTGAGCTTTTCTTTGCTAGTGCTATCACCATTGTCCACTCACAGGTGAGATTGTCATGGTGCCCTCGTACTAGACTTCATTAAGCTCCTGAAGTAGAGATTACCTCTTTTACTCTGCATTATGTCCCTAAATTCCTAGCATGAATCCTAAAGGAATGGATGAAGGAAAGTAACCAACAAAGACATGGTCCTTTCCTCCAGGTGATCTGCCTTGTAAAATGCCTTTGCTTGAGATGCAGCTTGGCAGAGGAAAAAGAAATCAATGCCCAGGAAACAGGAAACCCAGAACTTTCCCAAAGTCACTTTACCACTCAGAGCACCAGTTTCTCCTCTATGTAATAATATTACATAATAGACAAGATAATCCCACATTTTCTTTATAACATTTTATTAATCAGATATAAATGGGTATGTGGGTAAAAATGTCACTGGCTTTTAAGAAAGATTTCCTTTTTCCAGTTTCTTTTTTTTTTATTTCAACTGCTGGACCTCAGTCATGATGAGACAAAGGTAGAGTTTTCACTCATTTTGTACAGCTTCTTTACTCCAATTTTTGTGATCCCTTATCATCCACTAGTCCAATAAGGAAAAGAGAAATAGTTTTCAAAAGAAACTGTGTTTTTTCAGTCAAGCCATCTGGAAAAAGTTCAGGCCATTGTGAATATTTATTATCTGTTAGTTATTGATATAAACAAAAATAAAGATAATAAAAATTTCAATAAAAAGAAAATGGTTTTCAGTTACATGTACGCTTGAGGGAGAGGGTGGAGACTAACACAAACTAGAAAAATCAAAGCAGCAGGAAAGATTCCAGTTCCATGTCATTTATGGAGAACATACCATGTGCCAGGGACACCGTGCTCTGCAGGATGGTGTTCTCTAGATGAATTCTCTGCGTGTAGGAGCTCTACAACCAGATCTGGAAGATTCTTTAGAGTTGGATGAGTATGTCAAAGGCTATTGAGCAACTTTTTATTTTAAAATTTCTTTTAATTTTTCTACAAATTAAACCAAGTGGGAGACTTCCCTATGATTTTTATGACAAACTCTCTTTATTTCCATTTAAGTTGTAAAAAATTACTATATCACTCAATAATACTCCTTTATAAGTAGTTATTGGTTGTTTTGTGTGTGTGTTTATGTGTGTGTGTGTGTTTGGCAGTATTGGGGTTTTAAACTCAGGACCTTGTTCTTGCTAGCCAGGCACTCTACTACTTGAACCATGCCCTCAGTCCATTTTGCTTTAGTTACTTTTTCAAATAGGGTGTTGTAGTTATGTCCAGGCTGGCCTGGATCATGATCCTCCAGTTTATGCTCCCCCCATAGCTGGGATGACAGGTGTACACCAACCATGCCCTACTTTTATTGGATGAGATGGGGTCTCCCGAACTTTTTGCTGGATCCTCCTGATCTTTGCCTCCTAAGTAACTGGGACTACAGACATGAATCACTGGTCTACACTAGCTGGACAGCTGTTGTCTAGGATCTCACTTTGTGTTGAAATTCTCTTAGCATCTCTCCTCTGTGAGTTCTTTTTGTGTTTCCTGTCTTCCTTCTTTTCAATTTACTCATTTGGTAGAGTACATGATCCTTCAGTAGCTTCTTGAAAAAGAGAACTTAGGGAGTAATGTTTTTGCATACAACTGAAAATGTCTTTATTCTACTCTTGCTCTAGACATCTCATTTTCCTGGGTTAGAATTCTACCTTTTTTCCCTCAGAATTTTGAAGGCATAGCTTTGTTCCATCTCATTCCTGATCATTTGCATGTAACCTGTTTTGTTTGTTTTTTCTTACTCTCTCTGGAAGCATATAGGGTCTTCTTATTACCTCTTCTTTATTCTGAATTGCTTACAATGATGGGCTTTTGTTTAATTCTGATTTCATCCACTGCATTCAGCAGTTGTGGAACCTTTCTTTTTGGCAGTATTGGGATTTTATTTATTTATTTATTTTTTGTGGTACTGGGGTTTGAACTCTAGGGCCTCATGCTTGCTAGGCAGGTGCTCTACCACTTGTGCTACTCTGCCAGCCCTTTTTTGTGTGTTGGGTATTTTAGAGATAGGATCTCTGTATTTGCGAGGGCTGGCTTTGAACCTCGATTGTGATCTCTGCCTCCTGAGTGGCTAGGATTACAGGTATGAGCCACCAGCAGCATTCTTTGCATTTACCTCTGTCTTTTTCTTTCTTTCTTTTTTTTGTTTTTTTAGAGGTACTAGGGTTTGAACTCGGGGTCTCACAGCTGTTAGGCATGGGCTGTACCACTTGAGCTACTCTACCAGCACTGTTTTGTGTACTTTTGAGGAACTGTATGCCTGGGGCTGGCTTCCAACTGCCGTCCTCCTGATTTCTGCCTCCTGTGGAGCTATGATTACAAACCTGAGCCACTGGTGCTCAGCTTTATCTTTATCTGCCTCTGTCTGCCCTCGGTCTTTATCTGACTTTCTCTAGTATGTATATTCCCTCCATGTGTCTCTGTATTTTTTTTTTTTAGGATACCAGTCATCAGATTTAGGGCTAAATCCAGGATAATGTCATCTTGAGATCCTTAACCACATTATGTTTCAAAGACCTTACTCCCAATAAGGGCACATGTACAGTCACAGGGTTAGGATTTAGATATATCTTTTTTGGTAGACACAATTCAACCTACCACAACATCCATGTGGAGATATTGCATAGGGAATTGAATATGCCAGTAATGCAAGTTTGAAGTTCAGAGAAAGACTAAGGCTAGAGGCTCACATTTGTGTTCATCAGCACATGAACGGTTTTTACAGCCTGCTGCCCAAACTTCATGGAGACATCAGAAGACCCCTGAGGCACTCCGATGTTAGAGAGTAGGGGAAATAAGATAATCCTAGAGAGAAGACAAAGAAGTTAGAAAGCAAGGGGATGTAAGGTCATGGAAGACAAGCATGCTCAGTGGGTGGAGATTCCTGGTGAACTTTAAGGTATTTTCAGTGTGGTGGTAGGGACAAAAGCTCAGTTGGAGGAAAGAAGTTATGAAAGCTGGTTTTTTTTTGTTGTTGTTGTTAGTTTTCTCTTAAAGGGAAGAAAAAACCTGGGACAATAATTGGAGGAGGAAGTGGGGTTAAGAGAAATTTTTTTAATAAGGGAGAAATAATAATGTTCATTTGTCAATGAGGAAGAAGTTGAGAGGTAAACATTGATGTGAACAGAGAAAAAAGATTTTTTGGAGTAACATCCTTGAGTAGACGAGGAGATGGAATCTAGAAATTAAGGGAGGGAAGGCCTTTGCTAGGAACATGGATAGTTCACTCATAATCCCAGAAGAGATGGAGTACAGGTAGGGACAGTCAGTGGTACTCTCAGCCAATGGACATTCTCTTGTGATGGCTTCTATTTTCTCAGGGAATGAAAAGCAAAATCATCCACTAAGAGCAAGGACAGAGGAGGTTTGAGGAGAAAGATGTGAATTAATGTCTCAGGACATGGGAATAACTTGACTAGAAAATAACTGTTTGATAACTTGGCAGCAATGACTTCCCACTTGAATTTTGTGATCATGAACTTAAAGTGGGTAAGTTATAATAGAGTGGCTGTGGCATTACTGTCAAGTTCGGGTGCTTGGGTGTAGAGAGGTAGACTTTACCAGTTTGCAGTTTTACTATGACATGGGAAATAGGCAAGGGAGTTGAGGGTTTCTATGATAAATGTAAGTTAAGTAGGAAGTGCAGTCTTCAGGGAGAAGGAATGAGGGTTAGTTAAAAGATTGTGGGATCAATGATAGAAATATTGACTGTAGTCTGCAAATTAGAATGAGAGAATTGGAAAAATAGGAGTTGGGGCTGAGAGTGGGGTGTGGAAATTTAGATTATGGAAGTAGATACTGTTATTATGACAAGGTCTGGAATGTGACTTTTGGAGTGAATGGCTCATGTAGAGTAGAAATTCCAACGACAGACTTATTTCTATCATACAATAAAACCTAAACACTAGCTGAGCCTGGTGGCTATTGACTAGTGCTCTTATGTGTGTAAGGTTCTGGGGCTCAAATCCAGGGCCTCACTCTACCACCTAGCAGTTCTTGAATTAGAATGCATTGATTTGGTGAAATATTAAGGAGACATTAAAAAACGTTTATTCGAGCCCAGTGCCAGGTGGCTCACGCCTGTAATCCTAGCTACTTGGGAGGCTGAGATGGGGAGGATCATGGTTCAAGACAGCCTGGGCAAATAGTTATCAAGAACCCATCTTTAAAATGACTAGATCAAAATGGACTGGAGGTGTGAGCACCTGCTTTGCAAGTGGGAAGCCCTGAGTTCAAACTCCAATCCCACCAAAAAAAAAAAAAGTCTATCTGATGTAGACAACATGGATGACTCTGGATGAAATAAGGGAACAGCTGCTCCCACTAACTTTTACAGTATTATGATTGAATAAATTGTTACTGTACATGTGTACACGATTACAGCAGGAAGTGAATAGGGGGAAATGTTAACAGCCGTGGAGTTAAAAGTTATTTCTTTTTAAGCATTCTGTTCACTTTTTTTTTTGGTATGGGATTTGAACTCTGGGCCTCGCGCTTGCTAGACAGGCGCTCTACCACTTGAGCTACGCCCCAACCTAAATTTCATTCAATTTTGTAAAACAATGTTTTTCAAGCAACGGCCTTACTCTGCATTCTGCAATCACCTCTCTAGTTCTGCTCTGCTCTGGAGAACGTCATCGATAGGCCTCACCTCGGCCACCGTCCACAGAGTGGACCCGCCCAACGCTCGTCTGCGTCGTGACGAGCCACTCCTCCTGCTCCCGGCGCTCCCTCCGCCCCACTTCCTCTCTGCAGGCCCCGCCCCGTGCCAGTGCGCATGCGCAAGGGCGAACACGTGGCTGCCGCGGAGCCAGAGCAGCAATGGCGGCGGGTGGCGGTGGTGGCTACGACCCCCTGGTCCCGGCGGGGGTTCCCTGCGCCTTCTCCCCGGATAAACAGACCTATTTCGCTTTGGCCTCTACCGACGGTCACTTGCGAGTGTGGGAGACAGCCAACAACCGACTGCACCAGGAGTACGTGCCTTCCGCGCACCTCAGCGGTACCTGCACCTGCCTGGCCTGGGCGCCAGCGCGGCTGCAGGCCAAGGTAGAACGAGCGGAATGGGCAGGGGGCGGGTGCTCTCCCGGGCCCGGTTCAGCGGCGCGAGGCCCCGCTTGGCTCGTGGCTCCTGGCAGCCCGGGCGAAGCGACACTGAGGGCGGCTGCGGACCGTACTGGGCCCACGCCGCTGCCGCGTGTGCGGCCTGTCCGGAGGGCAGTGAGAGGGCGCGGCTCAGTCCCGCGGGTTCCATGCGGTCTGCGCCCCTGTAGCTGGGCCGCCATGTTCGCTAAGGCTCCTGACCCCCCAGGGGCACTTTCTTCCTGCCAGGCCTTGCTCATCTGTGTGCTCATCAGAAGCCCCGGCTTTGACAGATCCCCATCTTGGGAATGTATTGCTAGTCTGCATCCCAGACCCAGCCAGCGTAAGGGCTTTGCTTTGGGTATTTGGAATGAACTCTGTTAACTTGCTTCCGGGACCCCCTACCCCCACCCCCACCCAGGATGCCAGTTCAACACGTGTTCTTTTCCAAGTCTAGGTTGTGGGATTCTCACTCCAAGCTCTTGACCTTGCTAAGCGCCTTTTGGTTCTAAGCCTTTTGTATCATCTTGCTTTTTTATTTTTAATTTCTGCTTGGTCCCCCCTTTCTAACCTTTTACCTCTCATGCTGAAGTCTGCGTGGGGATAAAGTGAAGTAGTAGTTTGACTTAATGTGATGCTAAGATCAGGTGAAATTTCCCTTAGATGGAAACTGCCGAGTTAGGGAAGCTTTCCCCTCCCTCTGTCAGGTAGATGCCATTCACTGTTGAGTCACTGGACTGCATCTACTCAAACTCACAACTCTCACACGTGGTTACAGCAGTTACAGAGTAGCTAAGCGGAATCACTTCAATATGATTTGGAAGTGTTAGGTATTCTGAAGTATGTGACGTTTTGCCAGCAACAATGTGTAAGACTTCAAAAGCTTGTGTTTAAGTTAGATCTTCTCCACCAGGGATTTCTTTTTAATCGTTGGGTTAAAAGTGGGGATATATCTAACTGGGGTGCTTTTGGTAAGTTTAGACATGTTTACATGCTTTTCAGATTTTAATCTACATTTTAATATCTTCTCTTGTTGACTTCTAAAAGGGCACTTATCAGGCAAGCACAAAACTCAGACTTTTAAAATGTTCATAGTTGTCATTATTGCAGCTCTCTGCATTTTTTTTCTTTTTAAAGTTCTTTTCCATTTGTAATTTAACAGTTCTGTAAAGCAGTAATAACGCTGAGAGAAATACGGACCAATGGTTTTAGGAGGTGCATGTAACTTGGGTGTACTGCTTGTGATGCTCCATGGCAATAATTGTGCTTGTCGCTCTCTTATAAAATGAGGATAATAGCACCTACTTTATGAGTAGTTGGTGAATATTTAGTAATGCAGAAGGCACTTTCGATGGTTTTCCGTTTGTACATGTTGTGTGTTTTTGTTGTTATAAATAATATCTTGTATTTGTATAGGTAGCCCTGCAGGTAGATCAAACTAAGTAACTTACATAAAGCCAGAAGTAGAACCAGGGCTAGAAATCATGTGTTTAAAGCTCAGTTCTTGGTTATCTGCAACAAATAGTTAATACTAGGTTGGCCAAAACTTGTCATCCACTTTGCTTTTCTGTTGACTTCCATTTTATGCCCAGGAACGAAACTTAAAAGTCCTAAAGTTATGGGGGGAGAGTGTGTGAGCGTGTATGTGGTACAGTACAAAAATAAATGGTTTTGGTTTCATAACCAGGACTCAAATCAAACTTTTTGTCATATGAGATTGCTTTAATTTGGAGGGCTTCATTGAAAATGAGAGTTAGGCTCCATTAAAAAAAACAATCTTGTGCCGGAGGTGCAGTGCAGTGGTAGAATGAGTCCTTGGCATAAGCAAGGTCCTGAGTTCAGTCCCCATCAACCAACACACACACACACACACAAAGTGATCATAGGTTTCAGTTTCCTTTCGTACGCTCTGATTTTAGCCACAGAACTATGAGATCCCCTGAAATTTACTGCATTTTAAAAAAGTGATTGTGGGGTGGGGATGTAGTTCAGTGATAGAATGCTTGTCAGGTACACACAAGGCCCTGGGTTCAATTCCCAGCACTGGAAAAAACCCAAACCAAAACAGAATTGACAGCAACTGACCTAGAGGGCTAAGAAAGGTAAATAACTTAATCAAAACCTTAATTCCTAAGAAAGTAGTTGAGGCCACTAAGGTCAAGGTACTCTTGACTCCTAGTCCAGTGCCTTGAGCACTGTTACCTTCAAACTTAAGTCACAGAATCAAGAGCTGGGAGGATTGTGCAGATACCCATCTCCCATCATCTTGGGAATGTAACCCAGAGCATGAATTTCATTAGAAAAATTTGAGAGGCAGTTTTTTTTCCCCTGAATTAAAACAAACTTGTGCAGATCCTATGTAGTGCAAAATGAAAAGATCATATGATTTTTTTTTCTTTTTTTTAATGATAGAAGATGAATAGTGTGTAGCCACTGCTCAGCCTCTGTTCACAGGTCCCTCGATTTTGTTCCTTGCCACTTAAGTTCTAAGATGCTCTCATCTTAAGTTCTTCCTTTTATTTTCATCCTTGAGGCTTATAGCATGAGACATGAAAAAAGATTGTTAGTAAGCTCAAGCTCCAAGCATTTTGTTAAGGTCCTGGCATGTGAATTGTTTTCCTATGAAAACAGAGATAATACCACCTACCTTTCAGGGTCCTCAAGATTAAATGAGATTATACATATGACTGGTTTAGGAGAGCCTGGCACATAATAAGTACTCAGTAAATGATGAGTGAATGAGGGTTCTGCCTAGACTCACCTTTTAATGTAGTATTCCTCTATGTATGTCAGTTTATGTAACACTGTTCTGCATTTGGTTTATTAATTGGTAGTTTGTCATCCATGGACAGACAAAAATGTGTGGTGAAGATACCCATCATGGAGAAATATAAATTTGTGCTGTGTTTCTTGGGTAAGGGTTAAGGTAGTGGTTCATATGTTCTTGGTTACAATTTATAATACTTTCACATTTATGCCATGGTAATTTTAGAGTTTTTCAGGTTTGGTTTTTTTAAAAGTACTTTCTTTATTTATTTGGTGGTTCTGGGGTTTGAACTCGGCTTCACTCTTGCAAAGCAGGTGCTCTACCACTTAAGCCACACCTCCAGTCCTACATTTGTAATCTGAGTTAAGGTCTTGTCTATTGTTGTCTACCACAGTAAATGTGTTTAAGCTGCTTTGCTGTCACTGCAGTTAATGTGGCCCCACGCAGCTTAGTACTTGTTGGATGAAACACGTGGCATTAAGGCATTGGACAAGCCATGCTAGTAACAATAAGAATATTTCTAGGAAAATTCTGAGCTGAGTACCCCCATTCTCATCCGATAGGAATGTAGCACAATTCAGATTGTTCCTGTACTATTTAGAGGTCTCTTGTACTTAAACTTCAAAATAAGGTAATGGTTGCAGATTAGATCTAATTGGTAGAAATAAAGTTTCTGTGTATTAAATTTGTTTCCATATAAATATGATTTGTAAATTATGTAATATGTACAGTCTTTCTATTGTTATCCATGAAACACATAGGCCAGAGTAAGATAGGCAAGGAAATGGAATAAGAGACTGCTTGCTGAAAGAAACTTCAAACTTGGGCATACATTTCCATGTCTAAAGGTTAGTATTTTTCCTAAGTAGGTTTTGCTCCATTAGTGGTTTGTAAAATACTTAGTGGGTTGTGACAGCATTAAAGAATGAAATAGAATGGAAAATATGGGTATTGCTCAGGGTAAGGATGTTTTTCTGTGGAATTTGTTTCATTTATATGTATAAATAATTTTATAAGTGTATACTGATCTTTCCATGTATGTGTAAAATCTTCTGGAATCTCAGTCTAAAAAATCATTGCCTACCAAATCCAAACTTCTTGTCACTTGGATGTGTTTTTTTTTCTTGTCATCTTGTATTGTTTCTGGCTTTTAGAAATCACACGCATGCCATTCAGATTCTCTCAGCATTCTGATTGCCTTTTTTTTTTCTGATTGAGCTTTCATTAGACAGGTTTTTGGTATTTATTGCTTAGTTCATGTTGAAAAAGATTCCTTAGTCTAAGAAAACACTTTTAGCTTTCACTCTTGGTGCCTTCATATGTATTTTCATTTACAAATACACGAGCCAAATTCTCAGCCTACCTTTTTAATCACTTTATGTATTGCATGTATAATCAATTCAATTACCATTTGCTGGGCTCTTTATTTTCTTTTCTATTTTTTTTCTCTTTTTATTATATTCATATGTGCATACAATGTTTGGGTCATTTCCCCCCCTTCACCCTGCTTCATCCCTTACCACCTCCTTATCCCCCCAACCCCTCGCTACCAGGCAGAAACTATTTTGCCCTTACCTCTAATTTTGTTGAAGAGAGAGTATAAGCAATAATAGGAAGGACCAAGGGTTTTTGCTAGTTGAGATAAGGATAGCTATGCAGGGAGTTGACTCGCATTGCTTTCCTGTACATGTGTGTTACCTTCTAAGTTAATTCTTCTCAAACCTTTTCTCTAGTTCCTGGTCCCTTTCTCCTATTGGCCTCAGTTGCTTTAAAGTATCTGCTTTAGTTTCTCTGCGTTGAGGGCAACAAATGCTATCTAGTTTTTTGGGTGTTTTACCTATCCTCATACCTTCCTTGTGTGCTCTCGATTTATCATGTGATCAAAGTCCAATCTCCTTGTTGAGTTTGCCCTTGATCTAATGTCCTCATATGAGAGAGAACATATGATTTTTGGTCTTTTGGGCCAGGCTAACCTCACTCAGAATGATGTTCTCCAATTCCATCCATTTACCTGCGAATGATAAGATTTCATTCTTCTTCATGGCTGCATAAAATTCCATTGTGTATAAATACCACATTTTCTTAATCCGTTCGTCAGTAGTGGGGCATCTTGGCTGTTTCCATAACTTGGCTATTGTGAATAGTGCCTCAATAAACATGGGTGTGCAGGTGCCTCTGGAGTAACCTGTGTCACATTCTTTTGGGTATATCCCCAAGAGTGGTATTGCTGGATCATATGGTAGATCAATGTCTAGCTTTTTAAGTAGCCTCCAAATTTTTTTCCAGAGTGGTTGTACTAGTTTACATTCCCACCAACAGTGTATGAGGGTTCCTTTTTCCCCCGCATCCTCGCCAACACCTGTTGTTGGTGGTGTTGCTAATGATGGCTATTCTAACAGGGGTGAGGTGGAAACTTAGTGTGGTTTTAATTTGCATTTCCTTTATTGCTAGGGACGGTGAGCATTTTTTCATGTGTTTTTTGGCCATTTGAATTTCTTCTTTTGAGAAAGTTCTGTTTAGTTCACTTGCCCATTTCTTTATTGGTTCATGAATTTTGGGAGACTGTAGTTTTTTGAGTTCCCTATATATTCTGGTTATCAGTCCTTTGTCTGATGTATAGCTGGCAGATATTTTCTCCCACTCTGTGGGTGTTCTCTTCAGTTTAGAGACCATTTCTTTTGATGAGCAGAAGCTTTTTGGTTTTATGAAGTCCCATTTATCTATGCTATCTCTTAGTTGCTGAGCTGCTGGGGTTCCACTGAGAAAGTTCTTGCCTATACCTATTAATTCCAAGGTATTTCCTACTCTTTCCTGTACCAACTTTAGAATTTGGGGTCTGATATTAAGATCCTTGATCCATTTTGAGTTAATATTGGTATAGGGTGATAAACATGGATCTAGTTTCAGTTTTTTGCAGACTACTAACCAGTTTTCCCTTTGCTGGGCTCTTTAAAGGGAGCACTGAGTGTAACAGACATTCAAAATAAAGACAGTTTACATTTACTGTGTCTAATGCCCAGTGTGACTGGGACTTAAGGTAGAGGTTTCTGTGGAGGAGGAGATAGTATTTAAGTTGAACTTTGAAGCATGGATAGGATTCTTAACCAGTGAAAATTAAGGTGAGTAAGAAAAGGACACTCCAGGTGAAGAGAAAAACAAAATGTGAAAATGTGTGTGTGCTTAAGAAATGTGATGTAAGGATGGAATTAGGATCAGTAACAGCTAACCTCTTGGGTTCAGGAATATTGGTGTGGAGTAAGTAGTACTTTAGTAGATTTCACTAAAATGCCTATTGCTTATATAAACTTCTTATCTGGTTGATGTATTACATGTTTGGGCATGCACTTCCTGCTGAATGGGAATTTACTTTTAAAAGATCATCCAACCCTGAAAAACGTATAAGTCAATAGTTATTTGCTATTAAAACAATTAATTGGATTATTATTATTATTATTAGCTGTGGATACTTTTTCCACCTGCCTTTGCTTGCTCCTACCAGAAATAGAGAAATTCTGCAGATAGGGAAATTAGGCTTTGATGATGTTACTGTTTAATTTCTAGGTTTTTTTTTTTTTTTTTTTGATGGGACTGAAGTTTGAACTCAAGGCTTCCAGGAAGCAGGCACTCTACCACTTGAGCCACTCCTCCAGCCCCTTTTTGTGCTTTTTAATGGCAAATTCACATCTGTTGTAAAGCATGTACATATTTGGACCAGCCTTTGTTTTACACTATGAGTAACCTCTGTAGATAATTTGGTTTGATTTGGGAAAACCAGTAATAGAAATTTCCTAGACTCTTTCGGAGAAGAGTTTTTTGACAAAGTAGTACAGATTAAGTATCTCTAATCTGAAGTGCTTGAGACTGTGCTTCGGAATTCAGAAATTTTTGGATTTTAGACTATTTACATAGACTTTATACTGTTTGAGCAACGCAAATCTGAAATGCTACAAAATTTCTAAAGTTTCAGATCAATAAATTTCTCCCCTCTGTCCTTCCATAAAAAATAGGTGTTTGTGTTTATAACCCTACTTAAAAACCACCATTGTCTTCTGAGATCATTCAAAGATAGTTCTAAAAATTCATGTAACTTAAAGTAGAATATAAGCCACTCATCATGCAAAAGTTTCAGTGCTTCAAGACTCTCAGACTTTGGTTGAACTCAGGCCCTTGTACTTGCAGGCACTATACTCACTTGAGCCACCCCACCAACCCTATACTTCTGCTTTTAATTGTAACTTTAGGTACATTTCTAAGGACTTGCAAAATGTTTTTTCTGTAAGTAAAAAATTACTTTTTTGTTAAATATTTTCCTTATTTATCTCAGCCCTATGAATCAAATTCTTCAAATACTACATCTCCCTAAGACAATGGTAAGGGGGAAAAAGGAAAATGCTTTTGAAATCTGTTACTTTTCATACACTGGCAACATTGTAGTTTTCATTGGTGCTTCTTGGATTGGACAGATTTTTATGTGTTTGGAGCTTTTTTCCCCCTGTGCTATGAAGCAGAGTTCTTGTACTATTAACAAGTTCCCTTTTCTGTAGTGTTCGTGTGTTTCATGCCATGGATTGAGTTTCAGAGCTTCTTTATAATGAACAGGCTGGTAAACTAATTTTAAAAATGTGAAAGAAATTCTAAAATCAATTTTACAAGTTCTGATGTAGGCATCTTAAATTGTGATCATTGATTGTCTTTTGAAGTGGATAAACATGAGCTGTTAGCATTGCATTTGAAATAAATCAAAGAAATCTTGTGGCATTTGCCACTGGATGGAAACATGCCTTTTAAGTCATCAGAATCACCAAACCAAACTGAAACTCCCAGATTAGCCTTTAATCAACCAGTGGAGCAACTTCTGTGTGCTGAACTGCTCTATTAGTTATGGTATTTGTTGACTCAAATTCAACTTTATGCATGTTTACAATATAAAACTGTTTGAGTCCCTTTTCATGAAAACTAAGCTAAAATTTGAGGAATGATTGGGGGAAAAGTGAAGAGTTGACTGCTTAGTTACATATCTATGGATTCATAGATGCTTGGGTTTGATCTCTTTACTTGGGGAGTAGAGGCCTTTCTTGGACCTGTTAGAAGTGGAAGGACCATTGAGGCTGCTCAGACCTATTATGAGAGTACCCAGAACATACCAAGTTGTTCAGTTTGCTGTGTGTCCTCCAGACAGGTGGGAAATGGGACCGAGAGAATTTGTAGCATCTCTTCTTAATTGGAGTGATCTTTGTTTGTTTTTAAAATGGCAAGAAATCACCTGAGGGTGAATCCCTCTCCTCTCTCCTTTTAAAGTATATTTTGTGGGCTACTGGGTATTGGTCATTCATTGGTGTGTATGCAATAATTTTGTTTTGTTTTGTTTTTTCTTACCTTCTCTGGAAGCCTATAGAATTTTCTTATTACCTCCTTTCTTTATTCTGAATTGTTTGCTGGGCCTTTGTTTAATTCTGATTTCATCCACTGCATTCAGCATTTGTGGAACTTTTATTTTGGCAGTACTGGACTTTGAACTCAGGGCCTCATGCTTGCTAGGCAGAGGGCTCTACCACTTGAGCCTCTCTGCAGCACTTTTTTATGTTGGATATTTTTGGGATAGGATCTATTTTTTCGGGGATGGATTCAAACTGTGATCTTCTTGATCTCTGTTTCCTGAGTAGGTTGGACAGGTGTGAGCCACCGGGGCCTGCCTGCAATAATTTTTTTAAAGTGTTTGAAATACTAGATAAACATGTTGCTATTTATTTACTTATTATTTTCTTTTCAGGAAAGTCACCAGAGGAAAAAAAGAAAATCAGAAGTCGTAGGAACAAGTGACCAGATTGACTTGTTGGCTCTTGGTACAGCAGTTGGTAGTATTTTATTGTACAGTACAGTGAAAGGAGAGTTACACAGTAAATTAATAGTAAGTGTATTTGCATATTTTTTATATAAGATATGAGGGAAGCATTACTAAAAAACACTTCAAGATGTGTGATGAGATCTGCACTATGGAGGCATTTTTCCAGCCCTTCTGCATTTAAAGAACTGAATAGTAATATTTGATGAGAACTACAGTAGGTAGCACCATCCCTCTTACAGATCACACTAAAAAGAATTGTTGACTAAGGTTAAAGCAAGAAAGGGTAGTAGATGCAGGAAACAGCTCACTACCTCTTGGGTAAGGGCAGCAAAGGATACAGTTGGGATTATTGCTGAAGCTGGAGAACTGGTGATTCCTTAGTGTTGTGCTCCATTGAAGGGGAAGGTCCTCATGAACTTAGGATCCAGATAGATCTCAGAGGAGGGGACTTTAGCTGCCTGATGTCTCTGAAAGGAGGAGATGAGTTTTCTCAGGGTTGGGAAAATTGCTTATTGGGTTCAGTTGCTGCTGAAGAAACCACCTGTTGGGGAGATTCAAACAAGGGGACAGAAGGGACAAGTTCCCTATTCTTCCTCCAACCCTGTCATCTCCAGCACCTCCTATTGGCAGAGCAGTAGATCCAGCTGGCAAGCAGAAATGGGCTGCAGAGTCCCAGCTCCAGCATTATAGACTATTCAACAGTTTGACACTGGAAGACAATAACATAACTGGTGTAATTTGTTTTAGGCAATATCTCTGTTATTCCCTGGACCCCTATATATAGGAATGCTTTCTGGATAAAAGAAAAAAAAGGCAATTTTACATATTAAATAACATCTACCCATTGAAAACTTATAACTGCATGAATTTGAAAATGGAAAAAGTTTATACGTGAATCTGTCAGCAAGAGGGTTGGTGGAGTGGCTCAAGAGGTACAGTGCCTGCCTCGAAAGTATGAGGCCTTGAGTTCAAACCTCAGTAACACCATGAAAAAAAAAAGTAAATCTAAATCTGTTACCAAGGGAGAATGCTACTAATAGTTTGTGTATTTCTCTACTTAATTCATACTTTTAAAACATAACTAAGTGGCTTCTATTTTGTATCCTTCTACACTAGTTATAAGTATTTCTAATGACCGCCTAAGTCCCCATTAAATTGTATTGTCCATTTGTCACAGAACTATTATTGACCATTTGGGAGTTTCCAGTTCTTACGGGTTTTTTGGTTGTTGTTTGCTTGCTTGTTTTTTGCTTTTGTGTTTTGATGGCACTGGGGTTTGAACTCAGGGCCTCACATTTGCCAGGCAGGTGCTCTACCACTTAAGCCACTCTCAGCCTGTGTTGGGTATTTTTGAGATACGGCCTTGAACTATTTGCCCTAACTGGCCTGGAACCGCAGTCCTCCTGATATCAGCCTCCCAAGTAGCTAGGATTATAGGTGTGGCTCTTTTTTTTTTAAGGGATTTTCAAGGATATTTTAAGCTATTTCTTTTCTTTCTTTCTTTTTTTTTTTTTTTTTTTTAAACCTTATGAGTAAAGATGGATGCAGTGGCTCACAGCTATAATCTCAGGTACTGGGGCAGGGAAGGAGTCAGGAGGATTGTGGGTCAAGGCTGGTGTGGGGGGCTGTTATTGAGACCCCAGGTCAATTGATAAAGCTGTGTGTGGTGGCATGCACCTGTTATCCTAGTTATGTAGAGGCCTCAGGTAGAAAAATCTTGGTCTGAAGCTGGTCTCAGGCAAAAAAAATCCCCCCTTGAGATCCTATGTGACAAATAACTAAAGCAAAAAAGGACTGGCAGCATCGCTCAAGAACATCTGCCTAGCAAGTGTGAAGCTCTGAGTTCAAACTCTAGTACTGCAAAAAGGAAAAAAAAGTTGATTTTGAACTCTGATTTGACTTCACTAATTCATGTCAGTGTTACTATCTTATACTGGCATTGCTGTCCAAAGCAAATGGTATTTAGAAATAGTATTTTTTGACTCATCAATGTGGAAGTAGGTTTTTCCTACAGAGGAAAGGGGGCCGTTAGCATTTTAATGAAGTTCTAGCTGCTTTATCGCCTTTTGGTGTTGGAAAACTGGAATAGATAGATGTAGGTTAAGGCTTTAGTTATATTTTAGCATAACTAAAGTTAGGTTTTAACTTAACATTTTGATTAACTGTTCAGTAATGATGTGGGTTCATTTTATCATATAAGAAAAACTGTATTTTTCCTTTAATTTTTTTTTCTTAATCTGCAGAGTGGTGGACATGATAACAGAGTCAATTGCATACAGTGGCATCAGTACAGTGGCTGCTTATATAGTTGTTCAGATGATAAATATATTGTGGAATGGAACTTAGAGACATGCAAAGTAAAGTGGTGAGTAGCATTGATGACTGGCATTGGAGATTAGCTCATATACTGTTTGGAAATGCATTAGAGTTTAACAAGTCCTGTTGGGCACAGTGGGAAATGTACACACTAATTAGGCTGGAAAAAGTGTTCTCAAGGACTTTTCCTTGTCAGATGAGTAGTGTAGTACTGTTGGGAAGGCCTGGCGTAAGAGAAGGACTTTCACTTGGGCCTTCTGGGACAGATGAGATTTGGATAGAGGATTGGAGGGAGAATCCTTCCAAGAGTGGGCAGAGGAAGATGGGGAGATGGCAAGAGCAAAAGTTAGGAGCCAGGAAAGTGAAAGGTTAACTTGGTAGTGAGTAAACTTAATTTAGAATAGTGGACTAGGGGATGATGCATGGTAGAAAAAAAATATCCTCCAGTTAATAGAAATTATGGTCATAAGAGAGATGATTTTAGAGTTTTTAGATAACTTGAGTTTCAAATCATGTGAAGGGCAAGATGCAGCAGATAGGATGTTAAGAGGCTTAGAATTTAAGGGATTACTTGGGGCTGGAGATACAGACCAGAAAATCAGCACAGAGGGATTTAGTAAGTGCTTGAGCTCCATATACCTGCAGTAGTAATTCCCGCATTCTGTGACCTGACAGAAGTAACCTCGCAGTGATCCAGTAGGTCTGGGGTGGGGCCCATGTTTCTGTATTTTGGACAAGTTCACATCAGTAGCGCTACAGACACCATTGAGCACATGAGACAGTATGGATTTAATCATAACATTTTGAGGTCAGCTCTCTGTCCCTGTTTTAAAGTTGAGAAGTAGGTTAAAAGCTCAGCCTCTTTTCCCCTAAAGTATTCTACCTGATTAAAAAAATTGTGTTTCCAGTTCTATTCTTAGCATTCTTATGCTGCTGACTTTTTTTCTTGTTTTGTTTTTTGGAATTTTACTTGCTTATTCTCTCTCTTTAGCGGTACTGAGGTTTGAGCTCAGGGCCTCATGTTTGCTGGATAGGCGCTCTACCACTTGATCCATATCTCCTGCTGTTTTTCCTCATTTTAGGTACAATACCAGTTTCCTGCTGTGGAAGATATTTAACTTTTACTCTTTTTACCTCCCCTTTCTCCTATTATTGTTATATTAGACTTTTTTTTTTTTTTGCAGACTGGGATTTGAACTCAGGGCCTTCTGCCTTTTAGGCAGGTGCTCTTACCTTTTGAGCCTCTCTACCATTCTTTTTTTGTGATGGTTTGTTTTTGACATAGGGTCTAGAGAACTTTTTGCCTGGGTCTGGCTTTGATATGCAGTCCTCTTGATCTCTACCTCCTGAGTAGCTAGGATTACAGGCATGAACCATGCACTCAGCTGCATTATGTTTCTTTATAACTCCAAAGATGATGATAGGGTTTCAGTTTTTTACCTTTTGTCCTTATATCACCTTTTTTTTAAGGTGGTGTGTTTGGTTCATTTGATGTAGTTCCTGTTTTTCATGTTGAAGGCATTCTCCAAATTACTGAAGATTGTCATCTTCCTGTTGCTATTTGAAAATGAAAAAGCTGACTGGAAGGCCTGGGTGTGGGTGTGTGGCTCTTAAACTGTTGGGCTTCATTTGTAGAGTAATAGTTAAGCCTTAAGATGCTAGTGTGTGTAGACCTTTCCATTGGAACCTACCAACATTTCCCAGAGGAGACTATCCTTCTCTAGTGCTTCTAAGTTTTAGTATGCATATTTGTGTATGTATAATGTATGTGATATGTTACTCGCACATACAGATCTCACGGAGTAGGTCTAGTAGACTGGGCCTATGGAGTCTGGAGTTCTGAAAAGTTCTCAGGTGATGCTGATAGGGAAGTATTACACTGTGGGTTGGCAAGGCTCTTCAGGTGGGAGTACAGTGGGGAGATCTAGTAGTGGTGTTGCCCTCTACTGATGTTTTCAGTGCTGAGTGATGAGAGTCAGGAAACTTCTGAGCTTCCTCAGGGTAGAGTAGAGATCATGCCTTTTTTATATAAATCAGTTTAGTGAATTTATGTTGAATAATGTATATAGGTGAGCCTTGAAGCTCTGGGAGTTGGTTAGCAAAAATTTTAGAAGCCAATGAGGGAAAAGTTCTTTCATACTTTTTTTGATTATATACATTTCCTTCATTACTCTTGAGTTCAAGTGTTTCATGTTCATCAATAATTTGTGTTTGTTCTATGAACTACTTGTATTTGAAGTATTAAAAAGGAGTCATCCAATGCCAGGCACTGGTGGCTTATACTCTGCGTGGGAGGCTGAGATTGGGAGGATTCTGGATCAAGGCCAGCCAGTGGAAATAGTTTGCCAGACCCCATCTCCAAAATAACCAGAGCAAAATGGACTGGAGGTGTGGCTCAACTGGTAGAGTGACTGTTTTGTAAGTAAGAAGCCCAGTCCCACCAAAAAAAGAAATGCTATATACCCAGTTTCTTTAACTTACCAAATGGGAGTTCATCTGTGTACATTTGGGATAGAAATAACCTTTTGGGGCTGCAACTTGAGAGGTTATTTGTGTTGTCAAGGGAATTAAAGACTTGCCTTCCAGAGTGAGCAGTGACCATGTTGGGGTAGAATGGACTTATGGAAATCCACCAGCCTGGTAGTTTCCTGAGCATTATCAAAGTCTCATCTCATGGGTCATAATATGCACAGCTAACTCCCTGTCTCACTTTCTTATAACTCTTAACTTACCTATCTCCTACTACATCTTGACAATTTTTATCCTGTGTCTGCAGCATAGAAACCATCCATGTTAAGTGATTTCCGTGTGGTGGTATACCCAGGGCTATTAATGTAAGATTTAGGGATACAATTAGCATAGGATGGTGAGTGGTATTTTTAATGTCTGATTTGTCTGGTTATTTTCTGTTGTGAGTCAAGTTTTCATCCATTCACTGAGATGTTTTTGCACCTCTTCATGATACAGCAAATGGAAAGGAGACAATAGCAGTGTCAGTTCCCTGTGTATCAGCCCAGATGGCAAGATGTTGCTTTCAGCTGGTCGAACAATCAAACTATGGGTTTTGGAGACCAAAGAAGTCTATAGAGTGAGTGAATCAAATTATTTTTAAGCATAACGGTCATACAGAGCAAGTATGGAGGAAGAAGTTTGAGCTGAAGAGTATAGTTTTAGGAATACAGATTCTTACTTAGGCTTGGTAATACCTGTCTATAGTCCTAGGTCTCAGGAGGGTCAGTTGAGCCCAGGAGTTTGAGGCCCATCTGGGCAATATAGTGAGACCCCCATGTCAAGAACAACAGAATTAATACACAAAAATCAGCTTCCAAATTTGATTTATTGACATGAAATGGGTTAGACATGTTCACATGCATTGGAAAAGTGAGTAAAACAAATGGAATTTGAATTAAAACTCTTTTACTGTGCAGTGATTTGGTTAACTGTTTACTAGCTTTCATCTAGTATTTCATCCATTAATAGTATTTAATTGTAGAGGTTTTAATATTAGGTAGGAACAGTTGCACTCAGGGGTTACTGAACTTGGTGCTGTGATGATACCTTAAAATTGTGGTTTCGACTCCCTGAGAGTAAAATGAAGACCTACAATTCCTTGGCTGTGTCTGAGCACCTGAGCACCCCTTTAAATATGGATAGAAGTAAGTGAATCTTTAACTATAAAACGGAAAAAACAAAAGTTGTGGGATAGAAACATGGGAGATAGAAAGGATATGGCAATTTTCAACATTTTCAGATAGATTTTTCTTTTTAAAGATGAAGATTATAGCACAGGTAATTTCATTTGCTTAAAATTAAATTGAACTATTACTACCTTGAGGTGCTGCTGTCATATATGTATATATATCACATCTAATTTATGATTACATGTGGACTCTTAAATTTTTGTGCTGTTGTGACTCCATTCTCTCCTAAATGAGGTATACTTTCTTTAGCACTTCACAGGACATGCGACGCCAGTTTCATCACTTATGTTCACTACTGTCAGACCTCCTAATGAGAGCCAGCCTTTTGATGGAGTTACAGGTCTTTATTTCTTATCGGGAGCAGTACATGACCGGTTACTTAATGTCTGGTAGGTAGTTCTTTTGGATTTGAGAGGTAACTTTACCTTGAAAGAATGTCACAATGTATGTTAGTATAAATTATCAGTATGAGGCTTGCTTTATTGTGTTGGAATTATATTGACTTATAATAAAGAATTGAGCCTATCTATAAAACATGTTGTTTTGAAAAAAAAATATTTTCCCTTTTTTGGTAGAGCATTCACCTTTTCAAGACATTGCTATATATATATTTTTAATAAAAGTGGTTGTACCATTTTACATTCCCAGTATAAGAGTGCTAATTTCTTCACATCCTAATTTTGTGGCAGTTCAGTTAAGTCATTCTAATAGATGAATAAGTGGTATTTCATTGTGATAAATTCATCCCTAATACCCAGGGATGTTTATGTTCATGTTTTTGCATTATGGATACCCAGTGGTTAGAGTATCTTTTGTAGAAGGCTCTCTTGCTCTCTTTCTACAGTTTCTTATTCTTCATAGTCTTTGTGTTCCATAAAGTAAACAGATTTAATGAATACTGATCCATTCTAATCAATATACAAGCTTGGTCTATGATTTTATGTGTGTATCTGTAGAAAGACACCTTATTTAGTATACATTTTCAGTTAACATTGGACATACAGCACTGTATCTCATGCCTGAATGAAGCTTTCCTAATGCTCAGCGTAATCTTGGATTTAGGAATACTATGTAGCACTTTAGTACTATGCTTACAGGACACTTTAAACAGTGAAATCATCAACCAAAAGCACGTAAATGCAAAGATACGGCACGAGATAGATTGATTGTATCATCTGAAATAATGCGAAGCAGAGGATAACTTCGTTCGTTCTCAACTGGGAATGTACGTTGGATTGGGCAACTTCAGATTTTCACTGGTCTACACATAACTGAGCACAAAAACACCATACATAGTGATTTGGGGATTACAAGTAAATTTTACCAGGCAGATGAATGTGGAAGTAAGGAATAATGAATAATCAGGATCATATTTGTGTGTGTGTGTTGGTGTATACAGTGCCTTTCTAGACCATGAAGTGAGTTCTTCCCATGTGGACCATAGATTACTTACAGAGCTAGTCAAAATATTAGCAGCCCTTTTTGTGAAAATTGACACAGATTGTAAAGTTCAAATAGAAAATAACTTTAAAAAGGAGAAAATAGTTGGAGAACTAATATTGTCTGATTTCAGACCTATTATCACTATAGTAATCAAGACAGTGTGACTGACGTCAAGATATCTAAATAGATCAATAGAAAAGGTTAGAGAATGCTAGTTATTGTTTAAATCTGTCAGAAATGTATTAATGCTTATTTTTTCCCAAGCAAGCATGTAGTACGTTTTATATGCATGTAGTATGTGTTTACATGACACATGGTTCCCTTATTTTGATCTTATATTGGGCTGTAATGTTGTGATCCCCTTTTGGAGAAATCTGTCATTTCATCTAATAGCTACTTTTGTTATCTAGGCAGGTCCGGTCAGAAAGCAAAGAAAAGAGCGCAGTGATGTCATTTACAGTTACAGATGAACCTGTCTATTTTGACTTGACTTTGTCAGAAAATAAAGAAGAGGTAAGTGGCTTGGTATTTGAGAATTGGTTTTAGATTTTACAAACTTGTGGATGTGAGGGACTAACAGTAAAATGTAACAAAAATGTGTTTAGACTGTTGAAGCAACTGCTAAGTCACTGACAAGTGCTTATCAGAGGAAATGGAAAATTTGCATAGAAGACTATGTATTTTTAGTTCATTGCGTGAATTAATAAAAGTTGAGATGGATTTTGTTAATAGCAATATATAAAATCACACGATGGATTTTGTTAATAGTATTATAAAATCACACATGTATGTCACGTGCATATGTATGTATGTGTGTGTGTGTATATATGATTGCTATATCGAATGCATTTTTTTGGTATAAATCTTGTAGGTCCTAACTTTGTAAGAGTGACACTTTTTTTTTTAAATAAATTTTTATTAGGATATGTTCATGATATAGGGGGGGTTTCAGTGATAATTCTGATTAGACTTATATTATACATTGGTTACATTGCCCTCATCAGACATCCTCTTGTTTAATGCCTTTTTATATTTTAGAATTTTTCATGTCAAAAGTAGGGATTTTATGATTTACATATCTTCATAAATATGTCTGAGCTAATCAAACTTACTTATTTTCATGTTTCTGTTTGACTAAAGCTGTAGTTCTATTTGGATAAAGGAAAGGAAGGAGAAAGAAAAAGGAGGGAAAGAAGGAAGCTTACACAATAAGGAAAGTCACTTCCATTGAATTGCCAAGTTTTTTATTTTTTAATTTTTTTTTTTGGTGGGACTGGTGTTTGAACTCAGCTTTGCGCTTGCAAAGCAGGCACTCCCCGGTCCATTTTGCTCTGGTTATTTTGGAGATGGTAATCTTTTGAACTTTTTGCCCTGGCTGGCCTTGAACTATGATCCTCCTGATTTCAGCCATCCAAGTAACTAGGATTACAGGTGTGAGCCACCAGCACCCTACTGGATTAGCAAATTTTATTTTAAAGAAAGCTTAAGAGTATTTCACTTTCAACACAGTATAAGTTTTGAAGTGGATATGTTGTATAACTCTATAACTGGAATTTAGCGATGACTTAGAAGTTTTCTTTGTGTCGTAATGCTTTTGAAAAGAATTGTAGTGGAACATGCATTGGTTGATGATTAGATCAGTGATTGCTTATAAGCTGTATTGTGTGTTTTAGGGTGAAGATCAGGTAGAAAGGAGAACCACAAGTCATTTTAAATACTTTTAGAAAACTTGAATAGTAATTCAAGATGTGACCACAATCCTGCTTTGTAATGTTAACAGTTTGGGGTAGGCTTATTTATTGAATATAATCATCAGAAGTTCTGATCATAGGACTTGATATGATAGGAAATGCTTTGGTATTCCCATATTATTAAGCAAAAAGGGTGATTTAACATCAAATGACTTTCTAAACAGTTTTAAACTTTGTGTGTGTGTGTGTGTGTGTGTGTGTGTGTGTGAGAGAGAGAGAGAGAGATTTTTATATCTAAATGGAAGGAACTTGGGCTGGGATGTAGCTCAGTGGTAAAGTACTTGTCTAGCATGTGTAAACCCCTGGGTTCAATCCCCAGCACCCAAAAATGAAAGACAGAGGGACGAAGGGTGGGAAGGAAGGGAAGGTAAGGGAAAGGAAGGAAAAGAAAAGGATGAATCTTACGCAATAAAGAAAATCACTTTCATTGGGTTAGCAAAGCTAGCACCTAGTCTTTTTACATAATAGACTTAGTTTTTTTGTTTGTTTGGTTTTTTTTTTTTGTGGATACTGGGGCTTGAACTCAGAGCCTTTACCTTGAGCTGCTCCACAAGCCCTATTTTTGTGAAGGGTTTTTCCAGATAGGGTTTCACGAACTATTTGCCTGGGCTAGCTTTGAACCTCGATCCTCCTGATTTCTGCCTCATGAGTAGGTAGGATTGCAGGGGTGAGCTACCGGTACCTGGCTTAGACCTAGTTTTTGCTCTCTCTCTGACTGAATTCTTTTGCTACTTTTAGATTTGATTCATTTAATCTTGGAATAATGCTTGCCTTATATTTAAAATTAGCAATAATAAAATAAGGGAGGTACGACTTTTTAAAAAAAGATAGTAAAATGATGGTTCAAAAAGTTTTAATTCTGGCATAATACAGTAATTGTAGTAATTTAAAAGTATAATTCTAAGACCAAACCCTGATTCTTGTACAATATTCTGCTTATATTTTCTCAAAAAATCACCAGTCTCTAGACATTTTGGGATTAGATAGGAGTTGCTGAAAGGGGAACTAGAAAATTTGGTGATGGGGGAGAAATGGTCTCTCCTCAGAAAGAGTTAAGTTTTCTTTAAGAACATCTCCAGAGATTTCTTATCTTTTACCAAAAAATGTCTTTTAAATTTTTCTAAGTACTTTCATAATGCCATATTGATCTTAAAGAATTTAATACATTTCAATTTCTCCTGATTGTATTGGCTACTTCCTGAATTCTCTTATTAGATTTAAAATTTAGAAGAGAGATGGCAACTCTTTGGAAATATTAAGTATTCATTTATAAAGTTTTTACTAAGAAAGCTTCAGAACTTAAAAAAGAAAATGTGTAAATTCTTGGGACAGGAGACTGAGTGGTACATAGGAATGTACAGACTTTGAAGCTGCAAGAATTCACAATAGACAGAGGAGGAATTAATTACATCTCCACCTTACCCCCTTTCCAGCCATGGATGCTAAATGGCAGTTTCAACAGTTCTGACAACTTTGTCTTCTGGGGCCATGTTAGATCTGAGTTGCCAGCCTCTGCTCTCAGTAGAAAGTTTTTTCATATAATTTTGAGGCTGTACTCTCCATGCTTGTGTGACTTTTTAAATGTGTCTTTTGCTATTTTTCTCTAGTCACAGGGGTGGAAGGAGAGTTTTCTTGCATTAGATTGGGGACCGAGTGTACTATTCATTAGAGTTAATCTGCTACATTTTTCTTTTAGCCTGTCAAGTTAGCTGTTGTTTGCAGAGATGGTCAGGTCCATCTTTTTGAGCACATACTAAATGGGTAAGTAAGAATTTTTTCAACAGAAATTTGTCTGTTTCCCTGAGTGTAATTTGCTTTATAGTCCCACTTCATTACTCTTTGCATTATATTAGCATTCTGCTAGATTGTTTTTTGAGTCATAGACCATGTTACTTCCTTGTGGCTAGGAGAGTGACTTTTTACAATGCATACTTAGTAAATTTTGGTAATTGCATTAAAATTTTTTTAAAGAAAATTGTTCAGATGGAGAAATTTGCTTGTGGACTTTGGTGATACCTTGATTTTTATCTTTTGCAGTGCTTTACTTCCCCTTACTTGCATGAATCAGTAAAGCATGGCTGAGTTGTTTTGGTAGAGTGTGGTGTTGGTAGCTTTGTAGTTGTCATAGAGAAAGGTTTAGCAAGCTGTGGCTTGGAGGCCAAATCCAGTAGATTCCACATGTAGCCTGAAAAGCGTGAAATACCTTTAGCCTTTTACAGAAAGTGTTTGCTAAACCTTGCTATCCGGTATAAATGTGGTGTTATACTCATTTATGTGCACGTAAATTTAAAATCTAAATTTTGTTAAATTTTAAAATGGTTTCCCACTTTTACTGTCATTTGGTATCTTTCTTTTAAAATGATAGGATAGGGATTTAAATATAGGCTAATTTCGAAAGTACTATGTACTTTTAAATAATGTAGGAGGGCTGGGGAATGTGGCTCAGTGATAGAGTACTTGCCTAACCTGAGATGGCAGTGGGTGCAATCCATAGAATCACCTCCCCCCAAAAATCCAATAAATTTGAGTCTCCTCCCTCCTTTGAACTCTCCTCGAGGTCACTGTTAACATTTCAGTAGATAGCACTTGAGGCTTGTATTTACATAGTGATACATGTACATGGAACGTGTAACTGAGGCCCAGAAGCAGTGGGCCCTGGTGAGTATTTGAGCATTTCTTCTTGGGCACTGGTAAGCCATTGAAGAGTTTTAAGCAGAGGGTTGATGAGGTTTGACCCAAGTTTTTAACTCATTCTGTCTCATGTTTCAAAAATAGCTTAAAGAGAAGTAAATGTCAAAGCAGAGTTGCAAAGTCCTGCATGTAGAATTGTGCTGTCGGGATACTAGGTCTAGAAAGATAAGGATCATGAGATGCATAAAATTTCTTACTAGGAATAAGTGGCATTAAGATGTGTAGGATGAGGAATGTGTGGCTGAGATACAATGAAAGACATTATCATTGGAGGCAGGAACCAAGAGACCAGAATTTCAGAAGAATCTTCAACCTGGATAAACTGGAAATAGGAACTGCTAAGAAAGGAGTTCATTAGGATTAGTGCTGGGAGGAATGACAGTGAGGCACTGAACTCTTAAGAAATAAAGAAGAGTGATTTTGATGGATGGTAACAGGAGGAAGAAGTAGTTGGTATTGTTAACAGTTTAAAGGTTTTCTATGTGAAAAGAGGGAGTGTTGGTGGAGAACAAAAAGCACATTAAATGATGTCCAAGGGCCTGTATCCAAAGGATGTGGGAGAGACAAGGGCTGTAACTTGGGAGGACTGAAGGAGGATGAGCAAGGGTAGAAAGTTAAGAAAAGATATGGAGGACATATTGATACTGGAGCTCCATTCCAGAGTCAGTGTGAGGCTTTTGAGGGTTGGGAGTGAATTGGAGATGAGACTGACTGGCATAGCGCATTTACCTGAGGGCTGAAGCTCAGGACACTGAGAGATCATTTAGGAGCTTGATGTGTCCTTTTGGGGCTTGACAAAATGGGACAAAGGGGTAACAAGTTTCAAGGATGGTGTTGGTGGAGGTGTGTGTGTGTGTGTGTGTGTGTAGTCTTGAAGGCACACTTGTGCACTGGGGACCCTGGCCACTGCTGATGGTATTCTGACTGTTGCCAACTTCAAAAAATTGTGTGTAAGAGGTGTTATTTCAAATTCTCTAATTTTACTTTTTTTTTCCCCCCCATTCTTAGACACTGCAAAAAGCCTTTGACTTCAAACTGCACAATTCAGATAGCAACACCTGGGAAAGGCAAGAAATCAACACCAAAACCCATCCCTATTCTAGCAGCTGGCTTTTGTTCAGACAAAATGTCATTGTTGCTTGTGTATGGCAATTGGTTTCAGCCTACTATTGAGCGAGTGGTACGTAGATGCTACTCTGGAGAGAAACAGCTCAGCGCTAACACAAACATGGGAAAGAATGACTTTAAGAAGGGCACCGTGGCTACTCATTGGAATACTTCAGGAAGAATAATATATGCTCCTTTAATAAAGGACCTCTCACTGTGTAGTTTGATTTGTGAGAACTTCATTGTATCAACCCAGCTTATCCAAATAGAATTTTCATACCTAGTTGGTATAAAGTCTTTTCTGGTATTTTGTCTTAGGAATTTAGCATGTGTTTCATTTACACTTAACAGTTTGAACTTAGCCATATTTCATATGCCTGATGGCTACATGTTCCTAGTGGTTACTGTTGTTGGTCAGCACAGATATGACGTCTGTTGAATTTTGCTCAGTTAACTAAAATGTAGATCTTAATAAATACGAGTCCTTAGTAGTAGCACCCATTTGATGTGCTAAGTGGAAATATAATGGGCATTGAAATGATTTAACCTTTTAAGTGGGATTGAGATTTGAACTCAAGGCTTCACACTTGCTAGGCAGATGCTCTACCACTTGAGCTACACCTCCATCCCTTTTTATTCTGGTTTATTTTGGAGATAGATTCTCAGTTTTTACCCAGGCTGGCTTGTACTTCAATCATCTTGTTTTAGGCTTCCTGCATAGCTGGAATTATAGACATGCACCACTGCCCCTAGCTATTGATTAAAATGGGATCTTGAAGTTTTTGTCCATATTGGCCTTGAACTGTGTTACCCCCACTCCAAGTTAGGATCACAGTGTGAGCCACCAGCTCTAATAGTTATTTCTTAAGCTTGCACTTACAATACTTAGTAATACTCCATGGGAAGTTAAATTTTAAAATGATTTCCCACTTTTACTGTCATTAAAATGCTAGGATAGGGATTTAAATATAGGCTAATTTCGAAAGTACTATGTACTTTTAAATAATGTAGGAGGGCTGGGGAATGTGGCTCAGTGATAGAGTACTTGCCTAACCTGAGATGGCAGTGGGTGCAATCCATAGAATCACCTCCCCCCAAAAATCCAATAAATTTGAGTCTCCTCCCTCCTTTGAACTCTCCTCGAGGTCACTGTTAACATTTCAGTAGATAGCACTTGAGGCTTGTATTTACATAGTGATACATGTACATGGAATGTGTAACTGAGGCCCAGAAGCAGTGGGCCCTGGTGAGTATTTGAGCATTTCTTCTTGGGCACTGGTAAGCCATTGAAGAGTTTTAAGCAGAGGGTTGATGAGGTTTGACCCAAGTTTTTAACTCATTCTGTCTCATGTTTCAAAAATAGCTTAAAGAGAAGTAAATGTCAAAGCAGAGTTGCAAAGTCCTGCATGTAGAATTGTGCTGTCGGGATACTAGGTCTAGAAAGATAAGGATCATGAGATGCATAAAATTTCTTACTAGGAATAAGTGGCATTAAGATGTGTAGGATGAGGAATTGTGAGTGGACTGTTACACGACCAAATTCTTGTTGACTTTAAAGAATACTTTCTACTTTTTTCTGTTTTCTGTGGTGTTGGCAATCAAATTCAGGGCCTCATGCGTGATAGGAAAACATTCTACCACTGTGTCATGTCCCCAACCCAAAGCATACTTTCAAAAATTTAATATATACATAGTTAATAAAAAAGGAGGAAAGTATTAAGCTGTGAGCATACCTACTTGCCATATGTGAAACTCCTCCAGAAATAGACATTGTTACCTATTTGTTTCACAAACATTGATTTGATTATAGAGGCTTATAGAATTACATATATCCATAGGATTTTCTTGGCACATATATGACTGGCTCATGTGATCTCCTTCTCCCTCACTTAATACCATGTCGGGACATACAGATCTATGTCCGCATTTTGTTAATTAACAATGCTATCTTTGACTTGCTTGTGGAAAGGATAACCGTAGGTAATTTTGGACAAGGACCTTTTTTTGGTAGGACTGGGGTGTTTAAATTCAGGGCTTTGCACTTGCAAAGCAGGCACTCTACTGCTTTAGCCAAGCCTCCAGTCCATTTTGCTCTGGTTATTTTTGGAGATGGGGGTCCCATGAGCTATTTGTCGGGGCTGACCTTGAACCTGATCCTCCTAATCTCAGCTTCCCAAGTAGTTAGGATTATAGATATGAGCTACTAGTGCCCAGCCAGGACTCTTTTGTGGCAGTGGTGTTTGAACTCAGGGCCTCATGCTTGCTAGGCAGGCCCTGTACCTCTTGAACCACTCTACTCTCCATCAGCTCAGGACTAATTTTTTAGCATAGTTTTTTTCTTTTTTTAATTCTCTCTTTTTTTTTTTTGCGGTTCTGGGGTTTGAACTCAGGGCCTACACCTTGAGCCACTCCATCAGTCCTTTTTTGTGACAGGTTTTTACAAGATAGGGTCTTATGAACTATTTCCCCTGGCTGGCTTTGAACCACAATCCTCCTGATCCCTTGTCTCCTGAGTAACTGGAATTACAGGCATGAGCCACCGGCTACATTTAAAAAATCTCTTGACCTTCTAAAGTTATAAGTGTGAAAAATTGAAACAGTTCATAACTGAGGGACTTAAACATTGTGCTCAGTGTCTTTCAGAGTTTACCTACTTCCTCACAGGTTAATGTGGAAACCTTCCATGCTTTTATAGTTTCATAAAAATGCATAGTTGATCATGTTTTTCATTTTATTATTATTCCCAATCTCTTTGTTTGATGTTGTGTCTTTTCTCCCTCTTCTTAAAAATCATTTCCAGGCTTTAAACTCCAAAGAAGCTCACATGTGCTTAGTAAGGGATATTTCAAACTGCTGGGCCCCAAAAGTAGAAACGGCTATAACAAAGGTGAGCACATCACAACTTTGAAATTAAGGCTAAGTAATTTAGGTGAATTGGTTTGGTATGACGTTTAGACTGCATTTATCTTCTTTCTTTCTTTCTTTCTTTTTTTTTTTTTTTTAAAGACAGGGCCTCACTGTGTAGCTGAGGGTGGCCTGGAACTTGTATGTTCTTTTTGACTATCAGAACTGGGCTTTGAATTGAGGGCCTTGTGTTCGCTAGGTAGGCTCTATACTGTTTGAACCAAGCCCCAGTTCATTTTGCTTTAGTTATTTTTTGAGTAAGGTCTTGTTGTTATGCTCATGCTGACTTGGACTATGATCCTCCTATTTATGCTCCCTGTGTAATTGGGTTGACATGTCCATGCCACCACACCCAGCTTTTCATTGGTTGAGATGGGGTCTCAGGAACTTTTTGCCCAAACTGGCCTCAAACCGTAATTCTTCTCCATCTCCATCTCCTAAATTGCTAGAATAACAGGCATGAGCCACCATCCCTGCTTTTTTTATTCTTTAATGTCTTTCAGAAATTTTATGGAATTATACTTTTAGATAGGAAAATTGTATAACTTCATTTCTGTACTTTGGTTGATGAGCACATAGATGACCAGCAGTTAAAGACTTGGATTATCGTATGCATGCTCAGCTGGAGAAGGAAATATATAGGAGCAAATAGCAAACCTCAATAAGTGATTTCTATCCGTCTCAGTACTTGAAAGAGCGTAACTTTGTTGAGGAATATTTTATTTTAGGGTGGAATAAAACTACAATGGGGCTGCAATTTATTACCTCACGAGAAAACATTGTGTTGCTATATTTTTTTTTGTTTGTTTATTTATTTAGCAGTACATGCAAGGCAGGGGGCTCTACATCTTGAGTGACTCTGCCAGCCAGTGAGTGGTTTAATGAGAATAGGAAAGCCAAGACATGCTATGATGACATCCACATGGTTTCGCTTCTGGCTGAGTTTCAGAGATGACACCTTTCTCTTGGCTGTCTGAGCATTTCTGGCGAAGATTGAAGTAACATGTTTTTGTATAATTTGTTGGTATTCCACGCTTTAAAACTGAGTTTTCATGTTGTCACTGAAAAACTTAATTGCCACTGTTAGTATTTATCTTGACTTCCTGTTAGGGTAAGCAAATCATACTGAGTTTTATAACAGAAAAGCCTTTGAGCACTGTTGACTTTCTCATTGAGCAAGTATTAAAACCTAAGGCACCATTTCTGTTTTCTACACCCTGATACTGTGTTGGACAGGTAAGAACACCAGTGATGAATTCTGAAGCAAAAGTCCTGGTGCCTGGGATCCCTGGACATCATGCGCCAATCAGGCCTCCTCCCCCACAAACCAAGGAAGTGGAGAACAAGAGGAAATCAGGGAGTAACGAGGTAACACAACCATTGACCAGAAACTCGAGTTTGAGGTTTAAGAATGCTTGGGAGAGTATAACAAGTTCAGAGCCAAAGTTGAATTTCCAGAAGCTGGCTGAGATTGCTGCTGTTGCCCTTTTTCCAGCCCAGCTGACTTAGGTAACCAAAATTCTAAATTGTCACTCTCTCGGATACTGTTCAAAGAAGATGGAACTTTTGTTATGAATAGAAGATGGAACTATAGTTATGAATAGCATAAAGTTGAATAAATTAAGCCAGGACTTGCTGTGATGATTTTCATTGGGTTTCGCATGTTGCTGAGTTCCCATGATGCCTCATTTTCTCTTGGCTGTCTGAGCAATCCTGGATGGTTTTGTGCCAGTTGGCCTTTAAAAGGGATGGTTATAGGTCACTTAAAGTTTTTACAAACTTCATTTTACTCCCCAAAATCCATGTGATTACTGTTTCTACCAGGTAGAGTCTTTTTCATCTTCCATTCACATTCTTCACTCTTGAGTAAGTAATGTAGATTTTTAACTCTTATTGTAGGAAAAAATTGTTTTTTACCCAATTTTTTAAGTGTCTATTGGGTGAAGGGGTTGGGTGTAACCTTAGTTGTTCATAAAAAATACTCCTCAATAATGTGATACCTGATGCTTAAAGTGCAAATTTTGTTTGGCTTAGATTCATCTCTTTAATTTCCTACAAACTTTTTAGTGCTTTTCATGTTAGGATAACCCAAGTAGGGAGATTTGTAGAGCATTTTTGTTAGTCACAGAAGAAATTTTTGTTTTATTTTGACTTTAGCTACTGAGGACCTGGTAGTGCATGAGTTACTAGGCTTGGTTTAGTCAGAATCAGTTCTATTCAATTGGGTCTTTGTATAGCAAATAGCAATATGCTTATACTTAAATTAAAAAGAAATCACTTGATGCTTGGTTTATACTAAAGCATATTTTAGCTAATAAGCCATCATTTTATAGCTCACTTATGAAAAATAGATGCTTTATGGATTGTTTTGGGAACAAAACTGTGCTCTTTTGATAATACCTTGTTTCCATTTACAGATCCTAGTTTAATGCCAAGGGATAGTTAAAGTGTGGAAAGCTTCTGTGATGATAGGTCTTTTCTTATGCCTTAGTAGTAAGATGCCAGGTTCTTGCATTTTTTGCCTTCCTACCAAGGGAATTTTATGAGCTACATTTTCAAAAATGTGCTGATTAGGTATTTTCGCAAGACTCTGGAAACTTGGATTGCTGGTGTTTGGCTTCTTCTCACATTGGCATTGTGGTAACGAGACTGAGTCTGTTGTAATGAGAATGAACACATTTGTGCTTTTCAGGATTGACGTGTGAATCAGTGTTTGTTTTTTTGGTTTTGCTTTGATTATTTTTGATACTGTGTCCCACTTTATGCCCAGGTCTGCCTGGACAGCGATCCTCCTATTTGTGTTTCCCCACGTAGGTTGAGTGACAGGCTGTACCCCTCTCCTAGCCATTGGTTGAGATTGGGACTGGTGAATATTTTGTTCAGGCTGGTCTCGAACCACAGTCCTCTGGATTGCTGTCTCCCTGTTGACCAGAATTACAGGCTTGTGTTTATGTTTTTGTCTCCAAACTGTTAGGCTATGTCCAGATAACCGTTACTGGTCATTTCTGTTCTGTAGGTTAGCATTGAAGAACGCCTGGGAGCAATGGATATAGCTAAAAAAGAAGGAAAAGATGAGCTTCTGCAGACAAATAGCTTTCCAGTTCTTCTCACACAGGGTTTAGAAAGCAATGATTTCGAAATGCTAAATGTAAGTATTACAGCAGTTTTTCAGTGAATAAGATGGTTAGTTTCTCATAGAATGTGATTGATAATGGCATATTCACAGAGTGAATAGTTATGTTATATGGTAGTTTGTAATTTAATGCTTTGTGAGTTAAGTCAAATGTATATAACTTGGTAGCATTGTACAGACAGTCACTAACATACCATGGGATTGTGTTGAATTCTTCTGAACCTGGAATGCATTTTCTCATAGAAATATTGTTCTGAATTGATAGGTTCTCAGGCTTTAGCTTACAAAAGCCTTTAAACAGTGTAGCTGAACCATCACACTCAGCATTCTAGATCACAATTTATATTTTTTTCTGTAGGAAAATGCGTTCCTGAGTTTTTACTCTGGATTCCAGAAACTTATTTCCCCCTGGCCGTGAGAGGGGCCGGTGAGGTGGAACCTTGGCAATGGGTAGGAGGTTTGGGGGGCAAACTCAAGAGGGTTGGGGGTTATGTTATGACATGTAGAGGTAAAAGTACTAAGGAACTATACAAAGAGGTAGTTACTATTTTTGTGTAAGTTGGTGACTGTTGTATGGCGTTACTCAATTTTGTGCTATAAAGTTTCATGATTTGACAGTGGTCTATATTGAAAATGTAAGTGTAAAAAAGAATCATATTTAAGCATTGCCTGATCAGATTAAAGCTTTTGTTACGACAGCAGCATTACAGTTTGAGTCAGTGTAGATGTAACTTAAATTTGTAACCTACTAATAGTGTCTGCTTGTATTTGACCTCAATGGGAGTATCTAATACATGTGTCTAAGGTAATTTTGCAGAAAGGGAGGAAACCAGTAGGTCCAACAACCACAAGAGATTTTCAATATGGTTTGTCAATGTATGAAGTTTAGAAAGTAAATTTTAGTTTACTGTGGCATAGAAACCTATGTGAGGATTTGGTGAAAAAGAATCTAAAGTAATTGACAATATTTTTGTAATATAACTTAACCTGCCGTCACCTACTTAACTGTGCTTTGAAACCTTTCTCAGTAGGTAAACCCAGATACCATTTTCCACACTTTCTTACTAAGAAAGATTTCAAAACATTTAGAGTAGTGTAATAGATTACCATGAAGCATTTACTCAGTTTCAAAAATTATCAGCACTACCAAGTCTTCATGGGTTCAAATATCTGTCTATACCTCCTCCTCCTCTCACCTCTGGTTTTGATCAAATATTTCATTCCTAGACATACCCCATTGAATTGAAAAATGCCTTTAAAACACATAACCGTTATCCATTGCCACTCTGAAAAAGTAAATACTAATTCAAATATTTCATTTGTGAGATATACCCCTGGTTATCTTACAAACATAAGCTTTTTCTTTTTTTTTTAAATTATCATATTACTGTATTGGGGGTACATTGTAACATTTACAAAAGTGCTTGCAAATCTTAGTTAAACTCCTTCTCTCCATCATTCTCCTTTATCCTGTCTTACCCCATTCTTAGGATGGCTTCAGTAGGTTCCATTTTTCTATTTTCATACCTAAGTACGTAACATTTCTACCATACTCTCTCTCCTACACCCTTTCCTTTTATCCTCCCCCCTCCCACCAGTAACAAACATCAACTTTTAAGTTTTTATTTTTGATTCCTTCTAAGTAAGCTTCCAACAAAGTCCACATTATACTTGGCTGATATGCCTCTTATATCTCTTGAAATTTGTTAATTTTGGAGAAGCTGGGTTATTTGCCCAGTAGAGTCCCACATTCTAAATTTTGCCTACTGTATTTCTGCGGTGTTATTTTTGTATGTTCCTCTGTTCATTATGTTTCCTGTACACTGGTTTTTAAAATAACCTTTTAAAATATACAGAAATACTGTGTAGTATATTACGTAGGAGATTGTGCATTTACGCATTTTGCACTCTGCTCTTGGAAGAGGCAAGTGGAAAGAAATATATTTTTTCCTATGTAAAATTTTCCCATTCCCAGAAAGGTGCTGTATCATGACATGATACATAGTTAAGAGGATGTTAAATATAGGAATGAAGAAAGTGAACAATGACAGGAGTACAACATGGGAACTTCTGAGAGGATAAACATGTCTGGCAGGAAACCATATGACTTTAGGAAATTAGAAATATAACCTGATAAAATAATCTGTAGCTCATGCAAAAACAGAAGCCTAGTTATTTGTGTAATTCATTGGAATCTGTGTAAGAGGTAAAAGATATTAAGATGGTTTTAGAAATATATTTAAATTCAATATTTTCTGTATTTCACTTATAATAATACCAAAAGGCATATAGGGTGAGTATAAAACAACAAATTAAATACAAATTTAATACTCAATTAAATGTAGTTTAATTGAGATTAAACTACATTTATAGTTAGAATATTCAGTATTGTTGCAGTCAGTAATTCTCCCCTAAATAATGTATGTATTGAACACATTCTCAGTTAAAATTTTGGTAGCTTGTTTAAGCTGCCTTTTAGAAATTAACAAAGTGGTCCTAAAATTTATTTGGAAATACAAAGGACAGAAAATAATGAAAAGCAGCTTGGAAGAATTATCCTATATGATTTAAGAGGTAATCAAGACAGTTTGATATTGGTAAAAAAAAAAAAAATGTAGATTAAGGGACCAAAACGTAGCCCAGAAACAGTTGGGAAAAAATCTTGAATCTGATTTTTACCTCACACTACACACAAGAAACCTTGCAAAACAGGCCATAGGTTTCTAAGTTACATCATGAAAAACATGAGAGGTAAAAGAAAAAAAATGGTCATTTTAGAAACTTTTGCTCTTGAAAAGACAGTGTTAGTTTGGCTGTGGTGGTACACGCCTGCAGTCAGCATATGGGAGTCTGAGGCAGGAAGATAAAGACCACGTTAAGAGCATGAAATGATATGGCATAGACTGGGAAAAATATTTGCAGCTCATATCAAAGGGTGTGAATGTATTAAAGTGTTAATGACAAGAATCAACTCACAATGTTTGAAAGTGTATTCAACTCTATTTCTTCCATTCTCTCTCTCTCTCTCTCTCTCTCTCTCTCTCTCTCTCTCTCTCTCTGTTTTTCTCTCTCTCTCTTTGACAGTATTGGGGTTTAAACACAAGATCTTGTGCATGCTGGGCATGTGCTTTGCCACTTATGCCATGCTCCTAGCTTACATTCAGTAAAAGTTTGAATAGACACTTCACAGAAGTATTTAAATAGTTGATAAACACATCTAAAAGTATTAAATCATTATGATATGTAGTATATATGTCATTGTATATTTTCCATATAAAAAGGCAAATTCAAACCATAGTTAGGTAACACTACATACCAATTATAGATTGATTAAAATTAAAGAAACATAATACATGCTGTTGAGGATACAGAAGAACTGAAACTCCTATCTTGCTAGTGACAATGTGAAGTGGTACAATTGGAAAACAATTTGGCAGTTCATTAAAAATTAATAAACTGAATATGCCTGCCATATCATCCAGTCATTCTCCTAGATATTTAGAGAATAATACATACACATGCATGTAATGACTAGTACATGAATGTCCATAGCCACTTTATTTGTGATAGCCAAAAACTGGAAAGGACCCATATATCTCTCATAGATGAATGGATAAACATTATTTATCAAGAATGTAAGGAATATATTGTTTATAGACCAACCACATGGATGATTGATATTTATGCTCTGAGAAAGAAACCAGACAATTTCATGATTCTATGTAAAAGTTGTAGAATATTCAGTCCAAGTCCATAGGTTACCTAGGATTAGGGGTAGGAAGAGGAATAGATTGTAAAGGAAGGGGCCCAAGGAGACTTTACGGATTTTATTTTTATCATGCTGTTTGTTTCCTGGGTCAATGTGCTTGTCAGACTGATCAAATAGTGCACCTATAAATGGGTTCTATTTACTATGCTTCAGTGGTACTGTAGGAAATTTGTAAAAGACAAATCTTATCTTCCTGGTAGTTATAAGTGGTTTATGGGGTCATTTCTTTAAATACATCCTCGTTAGTCAATGAGGTTGACTCTGTTTATCATTTATATAGTTTGGGACAACTTACTTTTATTTGTTTATTTTAAAACTTAAATTGTTAGCAATTTAATTTGTCTTTAATAAACTTAAGAAGTGTCTGAGAGCTTGTTAAAAATTCTTCTGCCTGCCCCAGTTTTGACAACAAATTAAGTGATCATTCTATATTTGGAGCACTGGTAGATTTCACAAACCATATTCTCTTTTCAGCCCTCTATTGTGGGATTTTTGTTCTTTTAAAAAAAATTTTTTGGTACCAGGGATTGAACCAGGGCCTTGCACATGCTAGGGAATGCTGTGCCACTGAACTATACTCCCATATCTCAAGTGTTTGGTGTAAATAATGTGCACAGTAAGTTGGAACTTGAGACTATGTTCCATGACCTGAAGTACTGCCGCTCTTAATTAGTCATTTAAGACAATGAAGCCTGGTGGTTTGGATGATCGTTGAAGGTCTTAACAAAAATATGGCAAATGTCAAAAAATCTACACACTATTCTGAGCAGGATGTCTCCTATGTCTCTAGATGATGGGAACTTTGTGATAACAGATTTATAATGAGGCGATTGAAGGAATATTTAATCTCATCAAGCATCTGGTACATTATTGTTAAAGTTCTGATAAGCATATTTTGCCTTTTGTTTACTTTTGCAGCACTGGGGATAGAACTCAGGGCTTCCAGGATACTAGACAAGCAGTCTACTATTTGAGCCACACCTCTAGCTCATGCTTTTAATTTTTTAGTGGACAGTAGTCCCATCATTGTGTCTCATGTGGTGCCATTCCACCCTGACCCCCACATTCTCCCAGCACTGGGGACAGAACCCAGCTTTTTGTGATAAGTAAGTGCTCTAGTGATGATTTTTGGAGACAAGGTCGAAAACCCACAATTCTTCTGCCTTATCCTCCAGAGTGTTGGGATTACAGGCAGCATGTTTTGCTTTGAAACTTGTGTTTTGGTTATTTGTAAAAGAAAATTTAGGTTAATGGAGAACCATTAAATCTGGACAGCCTATCTTAGTAATCACTGTCCAGTGATTATATATACAGTGGTTTATTGCTTTGGCATAAGAAGCTTTATAAATACGTGATAGTTTTTAAATAGTACTTGATTGATTTAGAAAGAATTTATGTAAAGGTGGTTTTATAAGCAAATAAAATTGAATGGTAATTCTGAAAGGATATGTTAGGAATTGATAAAATAGATTGGAAACTAACTTTCTGTATTTTTGTCCTTTAATATCTCTGCCGTTTATATTTAAAGCGGATGGGGGAAATCATATACCTGATAGGACTTTGATTTCCCCCTTTCCCCTCCTCTCTCTCCTGTGAAACAACTCAGGCTCAGCCAAGCTGAAAGGCCTCCTCATGAGGATGAAGTTTCTAAGCACTAGAAACAGGACTGGTCTTCAGTGTCACTCTTTCTACAACCTGGATGGAAACTGGGTCTCTCTCATAGATCTAGCCTTAAAGGGTTTTGATTGAAGTGTTAATTAATAAATTGTTTTGATTGGCTTAACATTTTAGCAAAAGTTGACAAGTTAATGAGTTTTTTTTTTTTTTTTTTGATTGAAAACCTTTTCTAAGTATGATTTTACTGTTTGCTCACTCTTCTGTGGATACAGTTCCAATATAGTAAAGCAGAGGTTTCAGAACATATCTAGAGTGGTACTTACTTGGATTTAAATGTCTAGAAATACTCTTGTATTTAATATGAAATGTTCATAAGAAATAAACTTTCTGATGTCTGAAAACAAACTTTACCTGGTATCTACAAGATGCGACCTTGTGCATTCAGTTCCTCCAATCTTGATTTGCCAAATTCAGTTAGTTTATTGCCTTAGTCCACTTTAACTCATTTTTAGAGACAATTGTTCCTATAGTGTCCTTAGTTTGTATGTATGCTTTTCTTAGTGATCCTTTTATTTTCTTAACAGAAAGTACTTCAAACTAGAAATGTAAACCTAATAAAGAAGACTGTATTAAGAATGCCCTTGCATGCTGTGATTCCATTGTTGCAAGAGGTAACTATTGCTCTTTTCATTTTAAGATCCCAATGCTGTATGAATTTGAGGGGGAAAGTCCAGTATCTAGAGAAATGGATTTGTAATACTAGGAACACGTGGCATTTGGAGAGTGAACGACGTGTAGAGGAGGAATGTTCTTCTGACAGAAAAGCGAAATTGATGAATTCCAAAGGCAGTGAAAGGAAGTATCATGGTCCTTTTCACCTTTTTTTGTCAACTAGCAGTGAGTGTGTCTCTCACATGTTAAAGTAGGAACTTTAATACGAGCCACAAAATACTGTACGTACAGGATGTCATCTACATGGGGGTGATTGTAATAGAAACCCCAGCAACCCCAATGTGTCCTTTGGATCTTTTTCCCCCTTATGTCTTTGTCAGGTACTCTTAATTTTGAAAAGATTTTTTGCATTTTTATTTATTTATTTATTTATTTATTTATTTGGAGTTTGAATTCAGGGCTTTGTACTTGTAAAGCAGTTCTACCACTTGGGCCATGTCCCTAGTCCATTTTGCTTTTGTAATTTTTTTGGAGAAGGGGGGTGTCTCAAACTACTTGCCCACGCTGGCCTCGAACCTCGATCTTTCTGATCTCACCTTCCCAAGTAGCTGTAATTATAGACACGAGTCATTGGCACCTGGCCCAATTTGGTCTTTATTGCAGACAAGCTGTTAATATTCTCTGCCTTGGCAGTATGGAATTGTGGTGAGGGCACTACTACTAGTAGTCTTCTCTGGCCTGTACAAGAGTAACTTTCACTATTTTTGAGCAGTGGTTGTTAGTGTTTGCTTAAGTAACTGACACACAGCAAATAGTTTGAGAGACCCTATCTTGAAAAAAAAAAAATAGCACAAAAAACGACTGGCAGAGTGGCTCAAGTGGTACAGTGCCTGCCTGGCAAGTGTTGCAAGACCCTAAATTCATACTTTAGTACTGCCAAAAAGTAAAGGAATATAAGAGAAGTGCTCATTTGTTTTTAGACTGTTATCTACTCCAAAACAAAATTTGCCTAAATTTGATTTTTCTCTATATTTTTTAAAACATTGAAATTTAACTAGCATTCCATAAAATTCAATCTTTTCAAGTGCACAATTTGGTGTTTTTTAGTGTGTCGAATAGGTTATATAGTTGTTACCTCCAAAAGAACTCCTGAACACATTAATAGTGACTTTCTATTTTCCCTTCCCCCAAATCACTTATGTATTTTCTGTCTTCATAAATTTGCCCATTGTGGACATTCATATACACAAATCTTAGCTTAGATTTTTTTATTTCATCATTTTCTTCTTGTGGGGATGAATTAAAAAACCGTATTATGTTGGTTGAAAATAGACTTGCTAAATGGAGTAATTGGAAATTGATGGAGATAGGTTGCCTCTGAGGTGCTACAGCTAACAGTGTTTTTCTCTTCCTTAGCTTACCAAGAGGTTGCAAGGACATCCTAATAGGTAAGACGTTTAGGTGACTTAAATTACTTTTTTTTGAGGCAAGGTCTCACTGTATAGCACAGGTTTATCCCAGGTTCTGGGATTACTGGATACACACAGGCCTGTTTCACCACTTCTGAATGTTGCATTGTTTTTATAAATAAGTTATTGGTGATTGTTAGAAACCTGGTATGTCTGGACTAGGGATGCAGCTCAGTGGTCGAGCACTTGCTTAGCATTCTGGAGGCCCTGGGTTTGTTTCTTTATTTTATTTTTTTGGTGGTGCTGGGATTTGAACTCAGAGCCTCACACTTGCGGCCCTGGGTTTGATCCCAGCACTGCAAAAATTAGGTAGCCCCAGATTTAACAGAATTTTTTTTTAAGTGTCAATTATTTATTTATCCCCACCACCATTTTAAGTCAAATGATTCTTATGTTCCTGAAAGATTTTATTACACTTTTCTTTTCAAAAACTATATAGTTATTTCAGTTTTTATCAGGTCATTTAATGAGTCAGTCTCATTGAATGATTTTGTTTTCATCATAATATAGCTCAGTGGAAGAACACTTGCCTAGTATGTGTGAAGTCTGGGGCTTACTTAACCTATCCTTCAAAATTTTTTTTTGTTTCGGGCTAAAAGACTAAATTTTGTGTGTATGTTTTCTAAGTACCTTTTTTTGTTGTTGTTTATTTGAGACTGCATTTTGCTATATATCCCAGGCTGGTCTTGAACTAAGGATTCTCCTGCCTACCTACTTCAGTTTCCCCAGTTGTTGGGATTACAGATGCCTGCCACCATACCCTGATCTCTCATACTTTGATTTAAAAATTCAAACAAGAAGTTGGTATCTCAGAGATAACCAAGCTTTTTAGTACAGTGTTGTCAGTGTCTATAACGAATAGTTTTTCTTTTCTAATATTTTATGAGACCTCAATAAGAGGAAAGCTGAAGATTTCATTAACTAGGCCTGACTTACCTGGTTGGTCTCTAGTTTCACTTTAACATTGTTATGGAAGACTGTGCTGTTCATTCTTGGTAGTGAATACATGGTGACTTCAAATATCATGAACATAAAACAGAAAATCTTTTGAGCCCAGTGTGGGTGGTCATTACTGCCCTGATGTCAGCTAATGATGAAGTAAAGTATGAGTTTTATTCTTTAATTGTTTTAGAGGGTAGGATTTTTGTCCTCTGTTTTACAGTTGACCCCTTCCAACAAGAGTTTACGATTTCACAGGAATCTTGGCTAGAGCAAGGAGCCGAAATGCGCAGTGATTGATTCATTGTGGTTATCTTTACAGTGCACAATTCATTATCTTCACTTGCCCATCTTTTTTTTTTTTTTTTAAGTATTTTATGACTCAGTTGTATTTAATTTTGAGTAGATGAACATTAGTTTACTTGGATATTTTTCCTTTTGCAGTGCTGTTTTGATGGTTCAGTGGCTGAAATGTGTGTTAACAGTTCATGCATCATACCTGTCAACAGTAAGTCTTTCCTGAGGATGAATAGTTTGGCTTTGATAAGGATAATAAACTTTTTCTCCTGGATTTGAAAAGTAACACATATTCTCCAGAGGGCTTTGAAAAATACGGGAAGGAGAAATGTTATATATTGATATATTAGCCTTTAGGTGTTTTTAAACTTTTTTTTGGTACGGGAGTTGAACTCAGCACCCACCTCACACTTGCTAGACAGGTGCTCTCCCACTTGAGCCACACCTTCAGCCCTGCCTTCAGGTGTTTTTCAGTATGCATAAGCTTTTCAACAAAATTGTTTTTCACTGTATATATCTTTAACTTCCCTTCTAAAAAGCTTACTTGGTTTTTAAAGGTTTTGTATATATATTGATATGTCTGGCCTACCTTGTCCCAGTAGATCAAGAGGTGATTTGTGGTAAAAATGACCTTTTTTGGGGGGGCAGCACCTGGGTTTGAGCTCAGGGCCTCATGCTTGGTAGGCAGCCACTCCTACTGCTTAAGCCTATCCGGCAGCCTTTTTTTTTTTTTTTTTTAATTTTTTTTGGTGATGGGTTTTTTCGAGATAGTATCTTTAGAACTGTTCGTCAGAGCTGGCTTCAAACCATGAGTAATCCTCTTGGTCTCTGCCTCCTGGGTAGCTAGGATTACAGGCGTCAGCCACCAGTGCCCAACAATTTAAAATATTTTAATAACCAACATTTTGCTGGGGTTGCTGTGACCTCTTTTATTGGTGTGTCTGAGTTATGTTACCTATACAGACAGAAGGAAAGTAAAATCTTAATTTTAGAAAAGGACAATTTTTATTTTATAGTGTGAGGTTTGTGTTTTTTTGTTTGTCTTGTTTTTAACTTTTTAAAATTGTGAGATAGAGTCTTGCCATATAGCCTAGGCTGATCTCAAACTCACAGTCCTCCTTACTCAGCATCTTGAATGCTGGGATTACAGGTATGAGTCCCCACAACCTGGCTATGAAGTTGGGTTCTTTACTATTATATTAGTGTATCAGTTACAAGTTTTCTTCAAAGTTTTTAGTGTGTGGCTAAAAATAAAATCCTAATTGTTCTACAAACTATTGCACTTCTTGACATGGCTTCACTGAACTCCTTTCTGGTGCTGTCCCTTTCTCTCTGTCTCAGACTCCTTTTGCTTAAGTGGTTTGAAATAGGGAAGGCTGTAAGATAACCTGCTTTGAGGCCAGCAATTTGTTCTTTGTGTCTGGGGAGAACTCTGCCAAAGTGTTAGAAAGGTAGAAAGAAACAATAGTACGAATAGTTTGTGTCTCCAAGCCTGCAAGAAAGGGAGGTGAATGAGGGGCAGTTTTGAATTGGGGGTAGTAGCATGGTGACTGGCATAGGTGACCAAAGTGAATATCTGGCTTAGGGACTCTGCCTAGAAAATGGATGACAGTAACCTTGGTTACTTGCTTAGAAGCAAGAAGAGTAGTGAAATCTTTTCTGGAATTCCTCAGGTATAATATAGTTACCAGAGTAACAGTTATGTAACAGTCAAAGTCACGGCAGAGTAGTCTAGAGAGGTGTTAGAAAGGGGAGGGCGCCATAGCCCACAAAACAGCTTGTTTCCTCCTTTTTCTTAGCAGATATCTTTAATTCCCCCTCCCTGCTCCCCTTTTGTTGGTACTCAGGGCTTTGAGCTTACTAGGCAGGCACTCTACAGCAGCTCCAGTCCTCTTTTGCTCTGGTTAGTTTGGACTTAGGGTCTCACTTTTTGCCCAGGCTGTCCTGCATTGCAATTCTCTTATTTCAGGCTTTTCACTGTCATTGGGATGACAGGCTAGTGCCACCAAGCCCAGCTTTTTTCCACTGAAATAGAATCTAGCAAACTGTTTTTCTCCTAGTTTGCCTGAAACCTCTATCCTCCCAATGTGAACCTCCTGTGTATTTTGGGATGACGGGCACATGCACCCAGTACTGATTGAGATGGAGTATCAGAAGTTCTTTCCCCTGGCTGGCCTTAAACTTCCATCCTCTGGAAGTTCTCTGGGAGCCAGGGAAAAGCTCCAGGGCCCTATGTAAGGGTAGACAATACCATGTCATTGGAGGGTAAGATAAAGAGGAAAGCTTCACTTTCGCCCTAAGGTGTGTTGTGGGTATTCTAATTTAGTATCATAGTTTATATTGACCTTAACTGAAATGATATGTCAGTAGAAAGGAGTTCTGCCTTACAGTTTGCCCTACCTGACATTTTCTTCCTCCTAGCCTTGTATATTTTCACAGTAATTTTTTCCTGCTAGAACATTGAGAGCCTTCTGTGAAAATTTGCAGAAATGTGCAAGGCTGTGTCACAAGCAGCCAGCGCCAGTGGAAGTACTTGTGAGCAGAATGAGTGCTGAATGCTGAGGCATAGAGAGCATGATTTATATGCTTGCCGTCTTGAGACAGTGACAATAATATGAAATGACCATTGTTTTCTAGTTGCCTGATCTTGTACACCATCTGGGGACACTCTACCAGCTAATGGAAAGCAGAGTCAAAACTTTCCAGAAACTCTCCCACCTTCATGGAAAACTTATTCTTCTAATCACACAAGTGAGTATCAATTGTTTCTGGCTAAAACTTTTGGATGTGATAGAAATGGAAGTGAGGAATAAGGATTATTTCAACATTGAGAGCTCCCTGGATCAGTAAGAAATCGGTAAATCAGAATCTAGTCTCTGACTTGGAAGTGTTATCTATTCAACAATGAGAAAAATTTAAATATATGTCTATTTCAGCTTTTATTGAAACTTTCTAAAAACCTTTTCTTGCCATTATGTTGTCACTATAGTTAAACATTTACCACCAACAGTAAGTTACAGATTTCTAGTTAAAATTTTGGCACAGAAAGATACTTTAATCACTTCAGGTGTTTTTTTTAACTTTTGCAAAGAAATTCTTTCCTTGTATTTGAATCCCCCCTTGAGGAATTGCATTCAAAGCCTCATACTTGCTAAGCAGTCACTCTGCCACTTGAGCCATGCCCCCAGCTCTTTTGCTTTAATTACCTTTTTCAGTTTGGTTCTTCCAGTTTTGTCTGGGGTTGACCTCACACTGTGATCCTCCTATTAATGTTTCCCAGTACCTGGGATCACAGGCATGATTCACTGTACCCAGCTTATTTATTGAGATGGGTCTTGCTAACTTTTTTGATAAGAGGCCTGGAATGGTGATCCTCCCAGTCTCTGTCTCCTGAGTAACTGGGATTGTAGGTATGAAGTGCCATACTTGGTCTTGAGGATTTTTTTGCCCTGCCTTTGTTTCACATTGTATTCAGGCTACCCATTCCAGTGGGGAGGGAGAGTAGGTTGATGGTTAGGGTAGTAAGTGTGGGTAGTAGTAGTGATACTTGGGGATAACTCCGCTTCATAGTTCTGCTTTGTCTTTCAGGTTTCAGCATCAGAGAAGACGAAGAGAATGGCTGCCCCTGAACAGAACGCAAAACTGGTGTATGAAGAAGGTAAAGGTTGAGGGTGGACATGTCTAGAACTGGATGAGTCAGTTTTGGTATCTTTATAAAAAGTATCCATGTAAGATCTTTCTTTGCCACAACTTTTCTTTTTATTCATTTATATTTTTTTAAATTTTTTGCAGCATTGGGGTTTGAACTCAGGGCCTGCACCTTGAGCCACTCCACCAGTCCTTTTTTGTAATGGGTTTTTTTGAGATAGGGTCTCAAGAACTATTTGCCTGGGCTGGCTTTGAACCACGATTCTCCTGATCTCTGCTTCTTGAGTAGTTAGGATTACAGGTGTGAGCCACCAGTGCCCAGCTCTTGGCACACCTTTTCTAATAAAATAGTCTACCCCATGGAAAATCCTGTGATGAAGTAAGGAAAGAAAAGACCAAAGTATGATATAGTAACAAAAACAGGCATTAGGTATGGAAAAGTTTGTCAATGTATTTACAGACTTTATGTCAATACATTGAAACTAGATGAGGCTGGGCATGGTGGCTACATGGGAGTTGGGGGATAGGATTGTTAGTGGTGGATGTAGAAGGATTGAGGCCAGAGGTCCCTCCATACAAAAACATGAGACCCTGCCTGAAAAATACACTGCTAATGCAGAACAGCTGGAGGTGTGACTCTAGCATCTGCCTAGCAGTCCTGAGGCCCTGAGTTCAGACTCCCATACCAACAAAAAAAACCAACAAAAAAAATTAACTAGGTAATACTGGTTAATTTTGCCCAGAATTGACTTAAAAAGCCAAGACATACAAAATTGACTTAAAACTCCTTACAAAATATGAGCCTCATATGTTTTACAGGTGATTTTATCAGGCCTTCAAGGAATAAATCATCTTTGTCATGATTTACATATTTTTTATATTTACTATTCTAAACCATACAAGGACAATCAATAAAAGAACACTTTAAAATAATTACAATTGATATGTGTTAATTAAAATAAAGCAAAACATGTTAGATGGCCTTTGAAGATCCTGAGTAGTAAATTGATTATGAAAGTGTTTAAGTAAAATAATATGCCATTGCCAGTTAGTTTATTTAGATATTTACAGGTGAGTAACATCAAGGACTCTAATAATATAGTCATCATACTCGCAGGTTAACACTAATATCTGGAGAACACTAAATCCTATCTTAATTGATACAGAGAAAGGAATTGGAGGTACTTAGTCATTATGCATCTCAAATAATCTAAGCAACCAAGGAATTTAATAGAATTTCCTTAACTTAAAACCTGCATCAAATATTGTACATAATAGCAAAGTGTTCCCACTAAAGTCAGGAACAAGACATGAATGTACTCTTTATTGCTTCTGAGTGTCTTGTGTAGTACTTTATGAAAGAAGTGAATTCTAGAGCAATGGACTCTGTCCTTCACATAGAAAATACAATAGAATCTACAGCCATACTATTACTAATAGGTGCTATATAAATAAGCAATTATAGTAGATACCAAGACCACATAAAAGAGTCAGTAGCATTACTCTGTCAGTAACAAGTAATAGGAAAATGTATTCTGAAAAAAGTTCTTCACAGCAGCAATTTAAGCTATGAATACATCTGAGAATATATCTAAAAAGTGAAATAACTTTTATAAAGAAAAATTACAGCTGAGCACCGGTGGCTCACACCTGAAATCCTAGCTCCTCAGGAGGCAGAGATCAGGAGGATCATGATGCAAAGTCAGCCCAGGCAAATACCCTCTCCCCCCCCCCCCCCCCCCACACACAAAAGACTGATGGACTGGTTCAAGGTGTAGGCCCTGAGTTCAAGCCCTGGTACCACCAAAAAAAAAAAAAAATCTATGTCTATATCTATCTATCTGTATATATATAAACATTACTGAAGGATACTAAAAGCACGTATGACTAAATTAAAGACAAGTCAATAATTTTGAAAGGGGAGAATCTGTATTGTGCATTTGGCAGTAATAAAAAAAAGCTTAGAATTTTGTTTATTTGGGAAAAGAGAGAAATCACGGTAGCTGTGATTTGGGTGAAGAAGGTGGGGAAACTTGACCTGTCAAGTATCATGACATAGAAAGCTCAAGTGCAGTAATAGACGGACCAGTAGATTAGCATAGTTACCCTCAAGACTTAGGGCGGTGTGGATTCTTCCTTCATTAGCATTGATAGCACGTTTTACATCAGTGGAGTCCGGTAAAGACCAGAAATACTTACACTTCATATGGAGCAAGATTGTCCCTGTGTCCCATTGCATTGCACTGTTTCTTTCAGCCACCTTAATGTATTAAAAGGAAATTTTATTATTAGAAGAAAATAATATTAACATAGGATATTTTTAGATTACTTTCTGGTGAGGAAACAAATGAATGGTAAGCATAAAAATATAACTACTTTACAGAACAGCAAGTTAAAACCTTAGATAATATTTTAAATTTTGGTAAATTGATAATTAACTGAAAATAGGTGTTAGGTTAGCAAGAATTCAGAAAAATGGGAGCTCATAGTGGGGCTGTTTGTGTGTTCTTTTCAAGAGAGCAGCTTTGTAATCAGAGTTGAAAATCTATGTGTCCTCCCATTCAGCAGGTCACTTCTAGGAGTGGACCCCAGTGTTTTGCACTTGTCAGTATGGCCAGAAGGCTCTTTGAGAGGTCCATGGTATCTTATGTTTTCTAGCCAGTCATCTGTGTGAGGCTGGATTGTCTTCCTATAGTTAAATAAGCAGTGCTTTAAAAAAAAATCCCATACAGAAGTAAATGTGACAGGTTTGTAAAGATATTAAACAGTACCACTACAGTTTGTGTGTGTGTGTGCGTGTGTGTGTGTGTGCGCGCGCGCGCGTGTGCTGTGCGTGCACTCGCTTGTGTACACTAAGGATTGAACCCTGGGCCTAGAGCTTGCTAGGCAAGTGGTCTGCCACTTGAGCCACACCCACAGCCAACAGTAAAATTTTTTTTTGCTTTGGAGAATTTGTTAGTTTTCATGAAAACATGTTAATGACAGATTGGTGACAGTCTTTTCCTTTCAGTTTATTTCCCATAATAATAATGTCGCTATGCTATCTTTTACATTGGAGCATTTAGTTTCGCATGCCATACCAATTAATACTATTTCTGTAATGAGTGCTCTCATCATGGGTCAAAAGGAATGCTAATGTTTCCATTTCCTCTACATCTATCAGCCAGCATTTTATGCACAGTTTTTCCACATTCATGGAGGGATGAAAATGACTTAGTATTACGAGATTTTATAGGGGTTTTGCTACTTAGTCTGGCCCAATGACATCTTAAATGAATAAAATAATGTGTTTTTTTTTTTTTTTCCTGCTTCTTTTTTTTTTTTCCCTGTGGTGAAGCGGTACTGTGGCTGAACTCAAGGCCTCATGCTTGCTACACAGGTGGTTTTTACTGCTTGAGCCACCACTCCACCAGCCTCTTTTTTGTGATGACTTATTTTGCAATAGGGTCTCACAGACTGTTTGCCTGGGGAGGGTTCAAACCGAGATCTTCCTGAGTAGTTGGGATTACAGGTGTGAGTCACTGATGCCCTGTTTCAATGCACATAAGAATACTAGTTTAGAAGTCAAGCATGGTGGCACATAACTAAAAACCCAGCACAGGGAGGGGGGCCGATGAGTTTGAGGTCAGCTGGGTTACAACCTCAGACCGTGTCTCAAGAAAAAAATAACCAGACAAACAAGGGAAATAAATGTTATGTTCCTCTCCCCCATCCCCCCAGCCCTTTATGCTTTAGTTACTTTTTGAATGAGGTCTAGCATTTTTTCCGAGCTGGCCTGCAGTGTAACTGGGATTGTTGGCATGTACTGTGCCTTGCTTGCTTCTTTAGATGGAATCTGCTAACTTGTTTTTTGCCTTGGCTGGCCTTGAACCTCATTCTTCCCACTGTCCATCCTGAGCAGCTGGGATTACAAGTATTGGCCTAATGTTACATATTACATGGATGGTAGCTGAATAGAAGTATATTTTTAAAAGTAAGTCTAGGAGTCTAGTGCTTCTTAGTTTTCAGGAATATGGTATCTGCTTTGTTTATAAAATTAAGGCTGGGTTTTTGTTTTTTATTTTTCTTCCCTACAGAATCTTCTGAAGAGGAGTCTGATGATGAAATTGCGGAGAAGGATTCTGATGTGAGTAATGTGTTTCCTGCTGTATACATCTACTTTTATTTCCTCATACTCTACCTGCATGAACTCTTAACAATGCTTTTCCTTGGTGTTTCTATCAGGATAATTGGGATGAAGATGAGGAAGAGAAAGAAAGTGGGAAAGATGAGGATGTTGATGAAGAGGAAAATGAGGATGCTGAAGAAAAAGGAGAAAATGGTGAGGACAGAGACGTGGCAAGTGAAAAAGAAGTAAATGGAGATTCTGATTTAGATCCTGGAAATGAAAGTGAAGAAGAATGAAATCAGATAACTGTTAACTTGGGCTTACCTTGCCCAGTGCTGCCGAGTCCTCCCAGGGAGGGTGCCCTGTGCCAGGAGGCTAAAGACTGCTCAGCATTTCCAAGTTCACAGTGGTGATTCCCACACACTTTGCTGTCCTGAGCGCCCCAGACTTTTAACTGTGTAAATAAGAGTGTTTCATTCAAATGTTAATAAACTTTACACAGTAAATAGACACATTTTCTGCAATGTACTGACATGAGTGTCCAATATATGGTATATTTTTATAAGATAATACCCTAGTATGATTGGTTATATCAGGAATTGACCTAAGTTAAGACAGATGTCCCATAGGGGTTCAAGAACTGGATGCTTGTGAAGGAGTTAGCTCTCATCTCAGGTTGGTATCTTTTATCAAATCCAGATGTGAAGCAGCACTAGTGAAAAGTTGTAAATTTGGCTCACTTAATTTGATAACATTTTCATAAAATATGAAGGGATGATTAAAAACTGGAGCAAAAATGATTCTGATTAAAAAAAAGTCGGTATCCCTAGCTTATCTATTAACTGTGGTGATCTGACTTAAGTCAGATTGAACATTTGGAGTGCTTCCCAAAAATAACCACTTATTTTTTAACTGTCATGTGAAATATTTTTTTAAAACAAAAGAATTATGGTAATGAAAAAAAACTAAAGATTTAGCCATATTAAGGGTTTTTCTCGTCTGCCAGTTGCCTGTAAGAATCATCAGTGTATAGAAGTGCTCATTACCTGCAACTTTTTAAAATAAATTCAGTCACAGCTGCTTTTGAAGAGGTTCATTTTTATTTAAATTACTAATGGATCAAAGAACAATTGTTTATTTTTCTCTTTGGTTTTAGATATTAATGATAACCTTGTTGGAATTTTTTTCCAAAGAAAATATTTTTATAATTCAGTAATTTAATGTTTTTCTTCATTTTCATTACCCACTCTTGGCAGTGTTAGGGTATCTGTTTAAGATTGATTATACATCTTACTCAAGATTTTTTTATGTATGTATGAAACTTTTTCAAATGATCAGTAATTTGCTTGTTTTGTTTTTAAAGAACAAGCTAGTACTGCTTAGTGCTCACTAGGAGCCATGCATATGGAAGCTCACCTGTAAGGAAGGGCTGAACCTATGGATTTATTTTCCCACCTATATACAACAAAACCCTTGTCTCTGAGGGACATCCCAAGATTAGCGGCAGAACACACTTCTGTGCTTGACTAACAGAGATGGCGTCATGGGAGCATCCTGGGAAAGCAGTCTGAGCTAGCTGCTGGTGCAATGTGTAGTTGTATTTGTCTATAAATGGACCTGTTTATGGCAATTTAATACCATTCTCTTTGTAAAGTGAATAAATACTCATCTTTACCCAGTGCTTGTCTTGTGCGTGTAGAGAAATATAGCCACATATTTGGGTATTGGGCTGGGGTTTGGAGCATTAAGTCTTTTAAAAGTGGTTTTACTTCACTAGCACTTATTGGTAAATGCTTTCTATGCTTGCTGTATGAGCTACAGTTTGTACCTGAACGAAAGAACCAAGAAGTTTTTCTTAGTTTATTCTCAAATATAGCTGTTTTTTTTTTTTTTTTTTTTTTTTTTGAGTGGGACTAGGGTTTGAACTGAGGACTTTGGGAGTTCTACAGCTTGAGCCACACCTGTGGTCCATTTTACTCTGGTTATTTTGTTTTTTACAGTACTGGAGCTTGAGCTCAGGGCCTTACACTTGCTCACCTCCGGCTGCTCTGGTTATTCTGGTGATGGGGTCTCAAAACTTTGGCCTGGGCCTCAGTCTTAGCCTCCCAAGTAGCTAGGAGAATTACAGGAGTCAACTGCTGCCGCCCAGCCACTGGAGGCTAGGTGGGGTTGTGACTCCACATCCCAAGGCTGTAGTGACAGTGAAGACAGAGGCATGGATGTGCTTGGATCCCTTACCTCTGACTCTACCTGAAGTAAATGACAACTACATAGTAATTTCTTTTTTTGTGTGTGTATTTTCTTTAAACTTTTCTGGAGTCTTCCCAATTTTTTATTTTTGAAAACTTTATAACTGTGATCCAGTGAACAATCAAATATTGTATTTGGTTTTATTGCTCTATTTCAGAATATTCTCCCTTATCTTTGTTTTTGATATTTAAATGAGTCTGCATTAATTGAGGTGTGTTGTACAATATCCTGCATTCTGATGTTTACTTATGATTAGATTCTGTTTCAAATGTCTTTGGCAAGAATCTGAAATAGATGGTTGTTTTGAGACGAAATTTTAAAAGAAATTCCTTGGGTATAGATAAGTATGTGGAGTATATGATTATGTGTTGAAGTAAGTAGGTGTCAAGGATTCAGGCTTGGGATTTTGAAACCTCAATGCAAGAGGTGTCAGAAATTAGATTTTTTTTTTTTTTTAAAGAAATACATGTTTTTTATTTTTGGTGGTATTGAGGATTTGAATTTAGGGCCTCATGCTTGCTAGGCAGGTGCTCTACCTCTTGAGCCACTCCACTAGACCCCAGAAGTTAGGTCTTGACAGTAGAACACTGTAAGATTGTATAAGAATTAACATGGATGATAATTACCAACATTTTACATTTATTCATTTAATGAATATTGTTGATTGCCTACTCTGTGCTAGGGATTATTTATTTTCGTGGTATATATCACTGAACAAAAGCAAAAGTATCTGCCTGCTTTGGTTTGGATAAATGTCCCCAAAGCTTGATGTCTTAAAGACTTGATTCCCAGGGTGGTTGGAGCCTAGTGGAAGGTTCCCAGGTTATCTGGGGTGTATCCTCAGAGGGGGTTGTGGGGCCCTGTTCTTTTTAGCTTTGCTTCCTGCTTCCTAAGGTGAGTGGTTTACTCTTCTACATGCTACCACCATGATGTGCACTGCTCCTTGACAGAGACCCAAAGAAAGAGGCCACTCAGTTTAGTACTGGAACCTCCAGAGCCAAAATAAAACTTCTCTTTGTAAGTTATTTGCCTCAGTTATTTTGTTAGTGATGGGAACTAATGAATGCACTGCCTTTGAGTTGCTGATGACTGGTGATAAGCAAATGTGTGATGAGTAAGGAAATTTTATGTAGTATGTTAATGGGGGGGGCGGTGGTTAAAAAGAGTAAGGTGGGGAGTTGGGATAAGGAAGTGCAGGTTGTAGATTCAAATGTGATCAGAAGGGAGATTTGAAGAACCAGGAGGAGTTGAGAGAGGAGGCTAAGTGGGTATCCAGGGAAGTCTAGGCAGAGCAAATAGCTCCAGCAAAGGCCAGTGCAGCTGGTACCTGGTGTGCTGAAATGCCTAGAGGAGGGCTGGGATTCTTTAGTTGTAGATGGCTTGCCTAGCATTGTGAGGCCCTGGGTTCGCTCCTCAGCATCCCACATGCACAGAAAGCCATGAAATGCTGAGAGGTCACTATGAGGAAGGGAGAATGTGTTAAGATACTGGATCAGAAGAGTAGTGATCCGCCGTATTGCATAGGGCCCAGTAGACGATTGGGGCTGGCTTGTGCTCAGACTAAAATAGGGAGTTGTAGCATTTGAGCAGAACTCAAGAATTAGGTATCCCTCTCCCCATGGTGAGAAAAGAGCAAATTGGTTTCTTTGTAGGCAGAAACCAGTAGGATGCTTTTGTAGCAACTCCAGGGAAAAAAATGGAAGATTTGATGTCTTTTTAAAATTTTTTTGACAGCATTGAGGTTTGAACTCAGAGCCTCATGCTCACTAGGCATGGAATCTACCAGTTGAGCCACTCCACCAGCCCTTTTTTGTGACAGGTGTTTTTGAGATAGGGTCTGTGAACTATTTGCCCTGGGGTGGCTTGGAACCTCAATCTTCCTGATCTCTGCCTCCTGTGTAGCTAGCATTACAGCCATGACCCCCTGGCGCCTGGCAAGATTTGATGTCTTGACTTCAATAAGTCATCCACACTGGAATTTGCATCTCCCCAGGTACTGCTTAAAGCTGCTGGGGAGGTGAGCGTAGTGTATTCTAGTAATTAGGGGGCAACTTTGCTGGTTATCATGGGTACCACCCAGTTAGTTTGTGGGGAGAGGTCGGATGTGACATTTGCTTTAAGCCAGTATTAGCTTCCCAAGGGAGTGATGCAAGTAGGAGCATATGGCCTGGCACTCCAGGCCTGCAGGAAGAGGAGAAACTCCAGGGACAGCATTCTCTTTAGATGGGAATTCATGACGTCCCTCAGCTGTGATTCCTTTCAGCTGTGATGTGAATTCCTGGTGCACTCGCCCAGGCTACAATGGTTTCTATATTGCCCTTTAAGTGGGTGTTCATTGATCCTCTCTTTGAAGGCAACTTGGCATAAAATTGAATTTTCTTTTAATCTAGTGTAGAGGTCTTGGTTTTTGTGGCACCTCAGTGCTGTCTCTTGTGCTGACAGAGTTGTACACTGTATCTCAGAGCAGTGGTGGAGTGAGAGGCCCCAGCAGTGTAAATGGATCTACAGACTTCATTCAAGCCGAGGACACTGAAAGACTGGGATGGATGTGCACAGTCTGTCAGGGCAAGCTGACTGGGGAGGAAACTAGATTGGTTATACTTGATGCCATATAGGTCTGCATATAAATGTGAGTAATTTTTAATATGAAAATGTTCCAGGGGAGAATAGCAAGTATAAATCATTATAGAGAGGGCTGTGCCCAATGAAGTGTGCTCGTAATATGTTGCATAATCGTAGGAGGTGAGGAATGTCAAATGAAAACTCCAAAAGTTGGAAATTAGCCACTTTAAGAGTTGCCTAAGCCGGGTGTGGTGGTGCACACCTGTAATCCCAAGTACTTGGGAGACTGAGGCAGGACTAAGTGGGTTTAAGGCCAGATGAGCTTCATAGTGAGACCCTATCTTAAACCCCCCCCCAAAAAAAAAGTTGCCTGGCATGTTCTGGGTAATGGCTTCAGGGGAAGAAATACTATGCTTTTTGGGCGCTAAAGTTTAAAAAGGATTCTTTTATGCAAATTTAAAAAGTAATGTACATTTTGTCATGGGCAGTTGTATTCAGTGTGTTCCTGATAGTTTCCTCTCAGACCTGGACTCTGGCTGGTGGACAGGGGGTGAAACATGCATGCCTGGCACGGGTGAGGGCCACTGCAGTGAGTCTCACAGATCCCTTGGCTCGTCCACATAGTCCTGATGTCAGAAAAGTTCCTCATCCTTAGAGCTGCTGCAATGTGAGAGTCAGGCTTCTGAGAAGTATTTCCATGGTGTATTTACTACACCTCTCAGAGTGAGCAGAATATCCATGTGGGATGATAAGCGTCTTCTTTCTGCTCAGGAACGTCACAAAGTAACCTGGTTTTACAAATAGAAGGTTGTTAATTGAGTGGTCTTCATAGCTGGTGCTATGGCGATGGTAGTCTGCCTGTAGTGGTGGGGTTGGACTTTGGCCCCACTACATGCTACACTAGGTCCAGGCCATCTCTTTACACTGACCATTCTTCATTTGCCAATAGGACAGTGACTGAGATGTGGGTTGTTGGGTCTCAGGCTGGTGTGTGTGTTTGGTGGGACTGGAGTTTGAACTCAGGGCTTCAAGCTGCAAAGCAGGTGCTGTGCTACTTGAGCCACATCTCCAGTCCAGGGGTGTGTTCTAGTAAGTTGGACTAGTTTGGTTGTGACCGCAGGTATCAAAACAGTACAGTCATACCTAAGGAACAAACAAGTGGATTTAGCCAAACTTTGGCCTTGTTAATTATTCTCAATCTGGCAAAGCCCTCAGATTTTATCATGGTGAAATACATAAAAATTAGCATCTTTATTTTTATACATATGTTCTGTGTTGTTAGGCAGTCACATTGTACAACTGGTAAAGTC